AAAAGTTTTGGCTGCACCACTTGCCAAGCTGTTCTCACTCTGTTTTCGGTGTCATGTCCAGCCCTCTCTCTGGAAAGTAGCCCGTGTGGTCCCGATACACAAGAAGCAATCTCATTCTGCTGTTAAGAACTACCGACCTGTGTCCTTGTTATCTGTTGTCTCCAAAGTCATGGAGAAGATTGTCAACACTGCCATAATCAATCATCTTGAGCATGAAAAGGCTCTGTCCATCCACCAGTACGGATTCCGGCAGGGGCTCAGCACATCTGACCTTCTCACGTCTCTCAACCACTCCTGGGTCTCCGAAGCCAACCGTGGTGGCGCAGTCCGCGTGCTGGCTGTCGACATAGCAGGAGCATTCGACAAAGTTTCACACCGAGGCGTGCTCCACAAGGCTGCGTCATATGGCATCACTGGTCCCCTCCTCAACTGGCTGTCTGACTACCTGTATGACAGGAAGTTGCAGGCAGTAGTCGGCGGAGCATCTTCAGAACCATACAAGATTGATGCTGGGGTCCCACAAGGGAGCATCCTTTTGCCCACACTGTTTTTGCTGTACGTGAATGACGCCTGCGACGTCCTACCGGAAGGGATCACTCCGGCTGTTTACGCAGATGACACCACGCTTTATGCCCACATCCCATCGCCACATGCTGTGACAGAAGTGTGCCGCAACCTCCAAGCTGGTGTGGATGCACTTGCTGAATGGGGTGCTCAGTGGCGCGTCACTTTTGAGCCAACGAAATCACAGGCCATGACTGTGTCCCGCCACCGCAGACCCTGGGAGACACCACCCATCAAGTTCAACGGCACAGCGGTCCCAGAATGCTCGCGGCTGAAGCTCCTTGGAGTGACGTTTGATGCCCATCTAACATACTCGGAGCATCTTCGAGGAACTGCAGTGCGTGCCACACAGCGAATGGGTTTCTTCCGGAAGGCGTGCCATGTCCTGGACCCACCGGGCTGGGCCACAGCATACCGGGGGTTCATTCGGCCTCTAATGGAGTACTGTCCACTTGTATGGATGGGAGCTGCGGCTACCCATCTCTCACAGCTGGACCGAGTCCAGCATCGTGCCCTCACCCTGATTGGGACAGGGGCTGCAATGGACACTCTGTCCCTGCGGCGCCGTGTGGCCGGCCTCACAACTCTGTACAAGCTCCATTACATCGCAAGCCCGCCAGCTCTTGCAGCGACACGCCCAGCCAGAGCCATCGCACCCGCCATCGCGCCTGCCACACGTCGCCGCTCGGCAGCCAACCTTGCGCACGAGCTTCAACTCCAGACAGCCCTACCTGCCAGATCGTGCAATGTTGCGCTGCGCTCTTTCCCGGAGTGCCTCATCGAAGCCTGGAATGAACTGCCAGCCACTCTCCTCCGCGATGCACCGTCTGCCAAAGGGATGCAGCAGTTCAAGGTTCAGACCTACCGCTACCTGAAACGGTCGGGTTGGTCATTGGCCACGGACATCGCCCCCTAGGCTACTGCCAGTACGACCCTGTTCATGTTCTCGGAGCACTCCCTTCTCATCAAACTCCCAATCCATCTGTCTTTATCTCTCTCTAACTCTCCTCCATTCTAACTCTAATCTTTCGTCAAATCTGCACGGCAATCAACCTCTACTTTCGCCTCAGCATCATGATCTTGATACTGCTATATTTGTACTTGTTTGCATACTTGTTTGCACTCATATCTTGGAATAACAAGTTTCCTGGTTTCCTACCCTTAGAGTTCTTGCTCTCCTGCTCCCCTCCCCGCCCTTCCACTCCCCATTTTTGTTTCCTTTGGTGCACATGTGCAGCTGTGATGCCGAGACCCTTGGTCGGCTGAGCTTCACAGGTCCCACCCACTCCGTCCTGCTGGATATATACCATTGTGTCGAGGTCTTCTCCTCATTTTAGTTCATCATGCAGTGAGTGTTCAATAGTTAAAAAAAAGAAGAAAAAAAAGAAAAAAAAGAGATCTGGTGTCACTGTAGCTGTCGAGAGAGCTTTCTGCTCAAGAGCATACATGAAGAGGATGGCCAGCGGAGGTGCCAGATGGTTCCTCATCGCAATTCCACGCTTCTGATGGTACTGTTTACTATTAAACTCGAAGTAGTTGTTTGACAGAACATACTGCAACATCAGCTGTACATCCGCAACCGTCAATCCAAGCATGTCGACGTCATTGTTATGCTGCTCTAGCTTGGTAATAGCGGCCGAAATGCTCTCATCTATAGGAATGTTCGAATAGAGGCCCACTACATCGAATGAGGCGATGATGCAGCCATCCGGGACCTGGCGATTCCTCTTGATGTCTTCAATGCAGGCTTCGGTGCTACATGTATCTAGATGAGCAGGTACGAACATAAGGAACTGATTCAGTAACTGATTCAACAATCAACGAAAGGTTACTTGTAGGACTGTCGCAAGAACTGACCACGGGACGCAATGGAAATCCTGCCTTATGGTCTTTGGGGAGACCGTAAAACCTTGGCATCCGCGAGTGCCTCGGTTTGATTGCCTTCTCCAGTTTCTCCGGGAGCTTGTTCTTCAGATGAGTGTCGACAAAACGTCTTGTCTCCTCATCCAGTTTGTCCACCGTCATGGCCACCTTCTCATAGTCAGCTTCTTGGTCCAGCATGGCTTCGGCTTTCTCATCATATTGTGTACTGGGCAACAAGACGAATCCCTTTCCCTTGTCTGATGCCTCTATGACAACACTATGTTTCCCCTAAGCTGTTGAATCTCATCCTTCTCTTCTTGGGACAGCGGTGCGAACGTTGATTGTTTGCGGTTCCTCTTAGCTTCTTCATCATAGAGCGACATAATGTCATCCTTCATGCGCCGTAGCTTGCGTTCATCTTCCTTTCCCATCAATGGAGGTTGACGTGTTGTCCCACAGAGCTTCCTCAGGGTGATGTTGATGTCTAGGGTAATATTGCATGGTCTGACTTGCTCCTTTCCTTCTGGTTTGTCCTGCTCCCTCGGTGTACCCTGCGCCGTCTCCTCCACTTGCTGTGCCGTCCCTTGTTCCGTTCTCTCTTCAATAGCCGTCTGCCAGCGGTATCCGAAAGCAAACCTCTCAACAGCAACTTCAGCAATACGGACTGTGCGCACGGTGCACTTCTGTCCTGGAACAAATTTTGGCCCACGTGACAGCAATTTGATCATCGTCTCTGGGACGTCGTCTCTCAGTGAAGGATCTATAATAAATAAATTGCGATGACGGCTGGCGCCTAATTGACTGATTGGTTGTCACCGGATCGTCACTGGAATCGACAACCATCTCCTCGAACTACCACTGGACTTTACCACCTGACACAGCACATACACATACTTTGCACATACACCGCTGTCATATACATAGATCGCCTTTAGCTTTCCCACACTTGAAAGTGTTCTTCTACGTGCTGTGATAGTCTTACTAGTCTTCTTTCTTCTGGTTAGGTCACCTTACAGGTGATGATTGTAAACTTTAGTGTTAGTGTTAGTGTTAGTTTTCTTGCCTTCTTGTCAAATTGTGTCTGTGTGTATGTGTGAGTTTTCTCATCTTTCGTTTTGTTTAGGTCACCTTACAAGTGGTTGATAATAATTATGGTGGTAAAGACACACCTGGCAATATGGCGGTAAACACACGCCTGCCCACACACGCTCTCTAGGCTGCAAAGTTCTGGCACAGAGCTCTCCTTCTCACCACCACCACCATCAGTTCGCGCCTGGTGCATGGTCGATGCATGGCTGGCGGTATCCGGCATAGCAGGCTGGTACATCAAGTAGCGCATGGCACATAGATGATGACACAGCAACGACATAGCTCGATTGCGACGTACGTTTCGTCCCCGCTGGACTCATCAGGCAATCTTCTTCTTGGATGTCTTCATACGGAGCTTGACTCGGGAGAATGAAGTTGAAGACACCACTGCAGCTGTACTTATGGTTGATAATAATTATGGTGGTAAAGACACACCTGGCAATATGGCGGTAAACACACGCCTGCCCACACACGCTCTCTAGGCTGCAAAGTTCTGGCACAGAGCTCTCCTTCTCACCACCACCACCATCAGTTCGCGCCTGGCGCCTGGTCGATGCATGGCTGGCGGTATCCGGCATAGCAGGCTGGTACATCAAGTAGCGCATGGCACATAGATGATGACACAGCAACGACATAGCTCGATTGCGACGTACGTTTCGTCCCCGCTGGACTCATCAGGCAATCTTCTTCTTGGATGTCTTAATACAGAGCTTGACTCGGGAGAATGAAGTTGAAGACACCACTGCAGCTGTACTTATGGTTGATAAGGAGAGCTCTGTGCCAGAACTTTGCAGCCTAGAGAGCGTGTGTGGGCAGGCGTGTGTTTACCGCCATATTGCCAGGTGTGTCTTTACCACCATAATTATTATCAACCATAAGTACAGCTGCAGTGGTGGTGTCTTCAACTTCATTCACCTTACAAGTGATGATTGTTTAGTTTGCTGGCCTTGCCAATTGTGTCACCACGATGTGTTAGTTCTAGAACATTCATCTGCCAGATTCGTCTTTATATTTCGTAATTTGGCCTCCCCTTCCTCAATGCCCTGATGATGCCCAATGGGCGAAATATTGGCAAAGTTATTTATTTGGTGCAGCTGAGAGCCTGTTGCCGGAATGGCGGTGTTTTCAAGTGCATTGAATTTTATCTATTTATTTATTTATTTATCGTCTCCACTTCATGGCACATAGTAATAAATAGCCAATACAAGAAAGGGAGAGAATTGGTACGTGTACTTCGCGTAGGCTACCCCTGCGTACATGTATCATGATCGTGCATAGTTCGCGCCTACTGCACATGCCCACCCAGTGATGTGCACTTGACAAGCTTAGGCTGGGCGCATCAATCGCATGCCCTCTCAACTTTTCGAGCGCCTATTTGGCATATCATCTATTCTTATCACTCGCTCTTCCCATGCATGCCCTGCATTGATAACTCACACCTCCTCTACATGCCCATGCGTATCCCCCACAATAGGAACAAGCTATCCCGCGACAAAAGCATTAGTTGTCTGATGATTGCCTTAGCATTTAGCTACGTGCATGAAACGCAGCGTTACAATGTTTTGTTTTATTCCATTTCACATTTTTCATTCGTGTTGGGTTCAACTATTCACTGTACTGATACATGGTGATGATTGTGCTGTGATTTGCCCGTAAAAGAGGCCTTCCCTATAGCGTTACAACATACATGTATGCACATGTATAATTATATAATAATTATTGGTGGAACCATTCTTTTTGACCTTTGTGTATCATGATTGTATACGTCGTGGATGAGAGGTTAGCGGTAGCTGGCCGGTGGTGCTGGGCCCCTAGGCCCTGGGAAGCACCCAGGCGTGGTCCCCTGACTGACGTATCTGCCGAACACTCGGAGCAACAACAACCTGGAATGTTGTCGACTGTTCTGGTGTTGAACGTTTCTTTAACACTAAAATGATTTCCACTGTGTATCCAGTGCGGGCACGCGGGGCGGAAATAATGACCTCACTATTGAAGAATTCATACAACGGGTTAGGTCTAAAAAACTATATTCGGGTAGAATAAGTGGAGTGTACAAATGAAAACTCATGTACATGTAGTTCTGTTGACAATGATCTGTATGGACTGTGGAATCACGAGTGACGAATCTATTACAAGCCACGTGATACTACTGATGCAAAAGAAAACGAATGAAAATGAATATGAGTGCTATTATCACACTTCAGGTGCAGGCTGAGTAGCATTTTGCTTTACTTTGGAGGCTGTAAAAGGATGATAGTGCTGTTCCCATTTACATTTGGTTGAAACGAAATGTTTGAAACCTCATTTGCAGTGGCTTCGATCAATGTAAGCGATGTTGCTGGAGTCGTACACACTGTTGTGCCTGTGGAAACAATCCACTGCTACGCGATCACAATTGCAGATCTTCTTCTCACAGCTGTTGTTACCGCCACCTACATGTATGGCACGGACACATAACATGTACAGGATAGACACATACACAGACACACACACACACACACAGACGGAATAGTCAGAATATTCAATAATTGGTTACAATAGCAAGCAAAAATCAGTTACATAGACTTTGGTAAGTCCTTATTAGATCGGTCTCCCATAGCAACACGGTAATGACATTATCAGTTTGGCAATATCACGGTATAATTACTTCAGGATGACAATGTTTGCTTGTCTTTTCGCAGGATTCGCAACCTCTACAGCATCCATTCTTTACACATTACTTTTCTCAATGTACATGTACATGTAGATGTATAATTATTATTATCTGGCCACCCATTGACCATGATGCTATATGAAGAGACAATAATGATGACGTTTTTCCCAATGACACCAATTTTATGACGCTCCATGTTACTCCATGTTACTGAAGCATTAACTTTGATCATTGGTTTGTAGAGCCCCATTCTCTAGGAGATAACTACATATACATCTGCTCTGTTCCAATGTCCAGCATAAGCGAACTTGTGGATCAAGCATAACTGCTTGGTGGACGCTGCCGCGGAAATGCGTATAATAATGCATGTAGATGTGTTGCTGACAAAGCACCTGATATGAACTGTTCTTACTAATTTTTAGGATACTAGTACATGTACACCACAAAAGGCGTTTCAAAGTAGTAGCACAAGAGGTTATGAGTCATTACCATGCTCATGCATATGCTTCGAGAAGTTCTATACAGTTTATTAGGCGGGTTACAGAACTATCGACTTATCGTTCGCTGGCTTACTTGTAGTTTGATAACGCTTTGCTCTTCATTGAGATATCTACCATTCTCTCTTTTTTCTCCTTATTTTCTCCCCAACCCTCCTTCCCTGTAACATAATAACATATTCGCTGCCTTGTCATTGAGCATTTGTGCTCGTTTGGATTTGCGAATTCAAATAAAGTATACATACATACATACTACCAAGAGTCCATAACCCAAGAGTATGCAACTGTGATTATGGGTGCATGCGTGGCGCGCTGCCTTCATTACGTACCTTGCCTTCATCACGCTCTGAAAGCATGCATTCAAACTCTCAATTTCTCGCACGAGCCCATCCGTTTTTGCTCGATTCGTTCCAGTACCTACACAATCTCTGAATTCTGGCGCGTGAACTCCAGTTCCGTACGAAAGTTCATTTCAAACTGGAGGGAAAGTGCGGTGTTTGATTTTCCGCAGTGCGCGGACTGCAGCTGAATGATGTAATGAGGGCAGCGCGCCGCGCATCTGGCCCATAGAAAAGAGATCACAGTTGCATACTCTTGGGTTATGGACTCTTGATACTACGCGTATAATACATATACATGGCCCATATATGGGCGCATGATCTAGTCTGTTCACTGTTCTCCGCACACACTGCAACATTCAGATCACACTGACGACTCACCGAAGAGTTCTTGCCACCACGTGCTGCGACAGGACGGGTCTCCGCCATCGCAGTTCCAGTGGTAATTGTCGAACTTGGGATCAGAGCATCCGCTGGCAATGGCTTCGTCATAGCAGGCATCGTGCACTTTGCAGCACTCGTCGATCTCGTCAGCAACTGGCCCGGAACCACCCACTCCACACCAGCATCCGTAGTTCGTATAGCGTATCGCCGCAGTGATGGCGTTACCAGCTTGGGGTATCACGCACGAGATCATACCACCGAAATTGAGCAGTGAACGCTTGCTGCGGCTTTTGACCTCCATGGCCGAAGATCCCGCTGCTACGGATGAACCGGACACGTCGCCAGTGCAGAACATGGCAGCTACCAGCATACAGAGAACGAACACTCCAGTACGCTTTGCCATGGTTATGTTATGCAAGGGATGATACCGCGTGAGGAGCACGGAAGGTGACAGACTAGACGAGAGAACGGCCTCGAAATTAGGTACTAGTAAAATGAGAAGGTTCTACGGATGTAAATTCAGCAGTACTAGGACAATGTACCGTTATCACTGAGCCACTCGCTGTGATTCCAGAGCAACCCTAGGACAAATCGAAAACAGGCTGAACTAAAGCTCCCTCAGCTATTATGATCTTCTTTTATAGGAAATTTTTTTGTTGAAGAATTTACAATGCTCACAGCGATCATGAGTTGTTTGACCATTATGCGTAGGCACTCGGAGAACGGGGCCGGGGGGCATGTCCAAGTCTTCAGTGATTTCAAGTTCTTGATTGGCCAAGTACAGCTGTCCAATCATCATGTAGTTGTGCAGCACACGACGTCCTGCACATGTACATTATGCATAATAAACTGTCATCAGGCCCATTCATCAAAGCCGCTGTTTACGTCGTTTGACTGGTGGGTTGAAGTGGGCAGTGATTGAGTGCTGCCAAGAGAGCTCGCCAACGCTGCGCGTTTCTGCTTTCCTTGTGAGACGCTGACGTGAGCTCTCGACTTGTCGTGTACAGTGACAATCCTGTCGAGGTATTCTGACGGACTGCCACGGTCAATTATTTCTACATGATAGAAAGGAGCTTCGCAAACGTGATTGGGTAATCTGTAATTGCGTATGCAGCAGCACCACGCATGTATTGCTTTCATACTCATAGTCCGGACTGAATCAGGTAAATCTAGTACTAATAGTAATAGTAATAGTGGCCAGGCCAGGTTGGTGGGCAGGTAAACCAATACTGTAGCAGCAATCCGACTACTGTACTGGCACATGGCCTGGCCAGTACAACTAACTGTTACTTAAATAAGTCATTGTACTTGTGTAGGCCCCACTGCCAGTACACAGTTGAGTCATGACCATGGTGGGAGTAACGTAACGTTATTGGAACGAGTTGGAGTTCTCTCACGACTCGCTAACAATCATGTAGTAATTAAATAGTACAACTGCACCTCCACCAACTCTGTCACTACGCAATCACAACACGACCTGTCCTGAGTGGAGAAGATTCTGCACATGCTCGTGCATACTACATCAGTATGCAGAAGACGACGCTCTATGTACTGCCCGGCACAACTGACAATTTTACTGTTGTGTGGTTTTTGTCGTACGTAAGGGAATTGGTTCGATTTGCAGTGCTTTTGGGAATGGGTGTGTCCACCCAACTACTCTCTACGGATGAAGCTGCAAGATACCTCAGACTTACTTCTCAGTTGTTATTGTTGTCGATGATGATCGTGCACTCTCATCATCCGGGGTGGTAAGTAATAGTTTAATGGTAGGGGCCGCGGGCACTTCGACAATGTTTGACCGTGCGCCCTCATGGCCCTCATGGGTGGTAAGTAATTAGTTAATGGTAGTGGCAGCGGGCACTCCGACATTGTTTTATTGTACATACTAGTAGTAGATGTATTAGTTGATATTATGCATCAATGCCCGTTTGGTTTGCGATGTAAAATAAAACTTCAAACAGACAAACAAAATAATATTATTATCCATTCATGCAACACATTCTGAATTCCGTATAGCGTTCATTTACTCAATCGCCGGACAGCTACAAGTACAAGTAGTCGTTTCGACCTTATTAGGTCTCGTCAGTGGAGCGCAGAGTTACTGGCCGAGCCGATCGCAATGAAGTCTAATACACGTGACAAAATTTCAAATTAAACCGACCCGGTGCATCAAACAAGTCAGAGTGCTCCCACTGTTGTTCATTTCCACGTGTACGTGTACAATGCACAAGTAACTAACAGCTACGTCATGCACTCACTTGTTTCTCCATAGAAGGTCCATACACGCAACAACCACACCATTGCCATTGGCGTTCCGGACAGTTCTCTTTCTCGAATCATGCCAACAATCTTGAATGTGATGAACATGTTGTAATCGAATACTCGATACGATCCTGATAATTATGATGTAGTGCGACGGCGTCAATTGATACACTGCATGCCGTCTGCTTTCTTTGCAGTACAGTACTAGTGATGAAAGGCGTACCGAGTTGTGTTCGTATTGGTTGTTTCAAGGACGAGAGGCCCATAACGGTAATTATGACGACAACATTGAAAGTACGAGCCAATCCTGTGATTTCAGTGTTCATGTTCTCGGTTAGCGACGTAAATGCACTGTATGCATTGTGGTTGGGCTCACACTTGCTCTGGGCTGCAGGTGTTGGTGTGTTATTCTTCTCTTCTAATAGTTCCACTAGCTGTGTTGCCTGATTAGATCGGCTGTGGTCGCACACGATGTGAATCTACATTCTACATCTACATGTGGCTACCAATCCTTGGCTTACCGTGACCGTCTTTCAAACTTCCTCACAATAATTTGAATTGGTCGCCAAGTCGCTCGCTCACGTCAGCATCCCACCACACGAACTATGGACATTAGAATGCACAGTTGTAGGGAAAGTTTGACAGCACTCCGGGGCCCACTTCTACTCCCCCGTCAAGTGGCCAGACAGTGAGACAGTGAATGTCGTTGTTGACAGTGTATGTGGATGACGTGTGCGCATCACGACACAAGAGAGCATTGTGCTGTGTCAGTCTATGTTTACATTGTACACAATGTTTGTTTGATATTAATTTGATAGCACTAATCATTTGGACACTTCTCCTGTCACAGCCCACTGCCCCTATCTTTTTGTGCTATCCCAGAACACCTAGTCAAGATTGCCGCCCTCAAATTTCCTGGACCATTTTCCTATAAGAGCAAGTCGTGATCCGTGGTTCTATAGTTCCACTTGTTTTCTATTTGCCGGAGAATTGCCTGGCAAGCACAGCGAGAGAATCATTGCTTCTTTCCGTGCTACGACTTTCTGTTCTCTCTCTCCCTCTCACGTATTAGAAGCGGTTCTCTTCCCTCAGTGTTCCATCTACTATTCACTCCCTTGCTCCTCATCCATCATCTGACTTCGGCCGTTGCATAACATAACCATGGCAATCCGTTCTGGAGTGTTCGTTCTCTGTATGCTGGTAGCTGCCATGTTCTGCACCGGCTACGTATCCGGTTCATCCGTAGCAGCGGGATCTTCAGCGGTGGAGGTCAAAAGTCGCAGTAAGCGTTCTCTGCTCAATTTCGGCGGTATGATCTCGTGCGTGATACCCCAAGCTGGTAACGCCGTCACTGCGGCGATACGCTATACGAACTACGGATGCTGGTGTGGAGTGGGCGGTGCGGGGCCAGTTGCTGACGAGATCGACGCGTGCTGCAAAGTGCACGATGCTTGCTATGACGACGCCATTGCCAGCGGATGCTCTAATCCGAAGTTCGACAATTACCACTGGAACTGCGATGGTGGAGACCCGTCCTGTCGCAGCACGTGGTGGCAAAAACTCTTCGGTGAGTCCTAGGTGATCTGTACGTGCGGAGACAAAACAAAAGATTATGCAAGTAATTTGTTCTTGTGACATATGAGGACTTCTACGTTTTTATTGTTCGAGTGGTTTTAAGCGGTCCGACTACAGCCTTACGGGGCAAGTAGCGAGAGACCACTTTGTTGACTCCAGAGCAAACTGTTGTAAGGACAATTCTATGGTGTAGAACGGCTGCTTGTCTAGCCCTCATGGCTGCGTATTCGGGGAGGAAGTTGTGACGAAGCGTCTCTGACTATTCGTTCTGTCTGTGGGTGCGCGTGTTTTTGGATTCATTTTGTGGCCTGATCTTAGGTGGCGGTAACAACAGCTGTGAGAAGAAGATCTGCAATTGTGATCGCGTAGCAGTGGATTGTTTCAACAAGCACAACAGCGTGTACGACTCCAGCAACATCGCTTACATTGATCGCAGCCACTGCAACTGAAGTTACCAACCGTGAAGGAAACGCACCCATGCATTGCTGCACTGTGTCTGCTCAGATTATAGCGTAACGCTGAATTATGTTTAAACATGGTATGGCTGGCCTTAACTCGAGTCAAGGCAAGGAGCCTGGCTTTAATCCTCCGCCGCAGTGATGATCAAGTGCCTTGAGGTGTTTCGGCTATAGCACTTCAAACCGTCAGAAGCAATTCAGCTTGCACATGAAGTACATTGTACATGTGCGAATACATATTAAATATTATGCATGTTTACGCCATTTTAATCAACAAATTCAACTGTGTCATTCGTCAATTTTATTTCGCATCCATCATCAGTGGTATTGGGAGTTGATCACCCGCTTTTCTACAAACATTGTACATGTACATGTACATATTCATGGTCTGCAAAATTGATTCGCTTTGCATCACACATGCATCGCACTCTTCCTGAGAAATACCACGCCAATCTTGATGCCAAATCCCTCAGATTCGCTCACGACCTCTTCTAGTACTTACACGCTGATTATTCATTGTTCATTATCAGAGTGTTGTATTTCTGATCTTCCTTTTTTAATTTTACAGTTGCAGACCACCGGAGAATTCAATTCAACCATGCCACGTAGTATTTTGAGAAGGATTAAACGAAAACGTTCAATACATGTGCATCCTGTACACAATAACCCAATAACAGTACATAACAATTATGATATGGCCTCAATTGCTGGCGTATGTACATGTACATGTATGTGCTTGCATTGATGCACGCGTAGACATTCACAAGGCGTTGATTTTGATTGGAGTTTACTTGTACTTCAAGTGTAATGAAAGTACAGTCAAACCTCTTTAGTTTAGGACGAACACCAAGGGATCAATGATATTTGTTCGCAATAACGGGAGTTTTTCTTATCCGTATGGTATACCCAGTGAATACACAGTGATTTATCCAATGGAGTTACGAATACTAGTTCTTTTTAAGCAAACATGTGTCCTATCAGTGTTCTTCCTAACGAGGTTTCACTGTACTAATACTAATACTGCCCACGAATTCCTTGCGCCGGTGACGTTGTGAAGACACGTGAACTGATGAACGATGATTTTTTAAACTATGTTCATATTCCCAAAAAAATTCGAAAATGGAAAAGAAAGACAATGGTACTGAGACTAGGACGAATGTGACAACTATTGAGCAGGGGCTGCACCGAGACGCAGCAGTGATGGTGGGGCATTGGTGGCTCAGCCGATCTGAGGTCTGGGCATCACGGCCAAAAACACGCACCAAAAAGAAGGGAAGGCATCAGAGAGTGTGCAGGAGAAACTATGAGACTATTAAGTATTAGCAATTGCAGGGGTTAGGACTGAGAGGAGCATCATCATGGCTGATCATGACGAGTCGATTGTCCGAGCTAGTTGTGGTGCATATCGGAATAGCTTGCTGCACAGGTACACCAAGGGGAGAAACCAGGGAGTACTAAAACCAGTTTTTTTAGTACTCCCTGGGAGAAATTATACATGCACTGGGCTTCTCATAATATTTCTATCCGCCTAAATGCCGTTTCAACCTAGCAAATTTTCTCCCTTGCGAGTTGGCTGCGAGACTCTAAAGCATTGGCAAAACCTGAACAACTTCTCGCAGAGAGTGTATCATGATGTGATTGCGTTCGCATCCACATCTGAGTGACAAAAGTACCAGGGAATACCCTTGCAGAGTCAATACACTGGGTTAATTGCAAAATCATATGCCACCAAATGCAGCCAGCAAGCCTGCTGCTGATATGGCAGCACAGCCCGCGGAAATTATCGGAGAAGAGCTGAAAGGCGCACCAACACCAACAGCTCTGCGAAGGTATGTTCTGACTCACGCTGATATCTGGTGTTCACGAGGTGTTTGTCGCGCTGGAAACGGAGTGTCTCTGTAAGTTTGTATCCCTGGTGATGTTTGTGCCTGGAGAGCACTATATAAGTGGTGCTCTTCGGGCACAATCTTCCTCAGCCTACTCAAGCTCAACTGATGAGGGGTGAATTCCCCAAAACACTGTGTATTGAGCAGGGAGTGGTGCTTTCTTGCAGGTTTGCCGAGTCGAAGGTTCGATGGACTTCTCGTGTGCTCTGGATGGCAGTCGTGAGTCAGTCAAGTGTCAAGTCGTCGGCGGAATAGCGCGAGCTCCAGTGTGGGAGCAAACCCATTCCTAAACATAATCATCACCGAAGTCGCAACCTCTATTTCGTAATAGTAATAATTATTATTTTGATTAACATGCACATGTACTCGCACAATCCATACATCCTGTACACACACCTTGTACACACTCTCTCTAACGGTCTCTAGGCTACACTGCAATTGATATACATTAGATCAAATTTTCGGGCAAGGCCCATCATCAGGAATAGTCCTGATGATGGATGGGCCTTGCCCGAAAATTTAATCTTATGTATATCAATTGCAGTGTAGCCTAGAGACCGTTAGAGAGAGTGTGTACAAGGTGTGTGTACAGGATGTATGGATTCAAGTATTGGCTACAGTGGAGTCTCCAAACCTTGAGAAAAATGTACTCGCACATGTACATGTACATGTATTTCAGGTGCAAACTGAATTGCTTCTGACATGTTTGAAGTGCTATAGCTGAAACACCTCAAGGCACTTGACCATCACTGCCGCTCCTTTTTTTCTTTTCTTTTTACTACATTCACATACCCAGCTCGAAAAGAATAATGAAACACAATGGTACGGAGACTACCTTGCCTTAATTTAGTTAAGGCCAGCCGTACCCTGTAAATAGTAATAGAGTGTTATGTTATCATCTGAGTAGCGACAGTGCAGCAATGTATAGATGTAGATGATTGCCTTCACGGTTGGAAACTTCAGTTGCAGTAAGTAAGTAAAGTAAATTATCGGGTCCGTTCCCGAAGGGAACTCACGACGGCCGCTAACACCCGGTAAACCCTCAGTTGCAGTGGCTGCGATCAATGTAAGCAATGTTACCGGAGTCGTAGACACTGTTGTGCCTGTTAAAACAAGCCACAGCGTGCCGATCACACTTGCAGATCTTCTTCTCGCAGCGGTTGTTGCTACCACCTAAGATCAGGCCACACAATGAGTCCAAACACACACGCACCCACAGACAGAAAGAATAGTCAGGGACGCTTCGTCATTCCTCCTACAATATGCAGCCATGAGGGCTAGACAAGCGCATGTTGTACACCATAGAATTGTCCTTACAACAGCTTGCTCTGGAGTCCTCAAAACAGGCTCTCGATACTTGCTTGCCCTGCAGTCGGACCCCTTAAAACCGCTCAAACAATAAAAACGTTCAAGGCCTGGTTATGTCTCAAGAACTTGCATAATTTTTGTTTTGTTTCCGCACGTACTGTAGTACAGATCACCTACACTGTAGTTCTTATGACGACTCACCGAAGAGTTCTTGCCACCACGTGCTGCGACAGGACGGGTCTCCACCATCGCAGTTCCAGTGGTAATGGTCGAACTTGGGATTAGAGCATCCGCTGGCAATGGCTTCGTCATAGCAGGCATCGTGCACTTTGCAGCACTCGTCGATCTCGTCCGCAACTGACCCGGAACCACCCACTCCACACCAGCATCCGTAGTTCGTATAGCGTATCGCCGCAGTGAGGGCGTTACCAGCTTGGGGTATCACACACGAGATCATACCACCGAAATTGAGCAGAGAACGCTTGCTGCGGCTTTTGACCTCCACGGCCGAAGATCCCGCTGCTACGGATGAACCGGATACGTCGCCAGTGCAGAACATGGCAGCTACCAGCATACAGAGAACGAACACTCCAGTACGGATTGCCATGGTTATGTTATGCAACAGCCGAACTCAGATGATGGGTGAGGAGTAAGGGAGGGGATAGGTGATGGAATACTGAGAGAAGAGAACCGCTTATAATACGTGAGAGAGAGAACAGACGCTCGTAGCACGGAATGAAGCAATGATTCTCTCGCTGTGCTTACCAGGCAATTCTCAGAAAAAAAGAAAACAAGTGGAACTATAGAACCACGGATCACGACTCGCTTTTATAGGGAAATGGGCGAGGAAATGTAAGGTCGGCAAGCTACATTGTACATGTAGGTCAGGTTTAGCACAAAAGGATAGGGGCAGTGGGTCGCGACAGGAGAATTGTCCAAATGATTAGTGCTATCTAGTATCAAACAAACATTGTATTATGTACATTGTACATGACTATACATGTACATGACTATGTAAACACAGCCTAGTGTACTGACTGACACAGCACAATGCTCTCTGTCTTGTGTCGTGATCGCGTGACGCGCACACGTCGTCCACATAAACTGTCAACCATGGCATTCACTGTCTGGTGCGGGTGTGCGGATAATGCTCGAAAAGGTGACAGATTCTGCTGGAAAAGCAGTATCTGTCACAAAAGGATAGGGGGCAGTGGGCTGCGACAGGAGAATTGTCCAAAATTTGATTAATGCTATCTAGTACAGTATCAAACAACTAATACTTTGTGTTATGTACAATGCACATGACTATAATGTCATGTACATGTAAACACAGGTGTACAGACTGACAAAGCACCATGCTCTCTGTCTTGTGTCGTGATCGCGTGACGCGCACACGTCGTCTACATAGATTATGATAAACTGTCAACCACGGCATTCACTGTCTGGTTGGGGTGTGCGGATAAATGCTCGAAAAGGTGACCGATTCTGCTCGAAAAGCAGTGAGAACCATACAAACCTTATGGCGGGCAATTCCTCGAATTCTGCTCCATTTCTTTATCCACATACCAAACAGGCATGAAACTTACCAGAAAAGTACCGAGTTCTGCCAATTTTTCTGTCGGTATTATCCCCATATGCCTACTTTGTCTGGGCACTTGACGGGAGGGGGGGGGGGGGAGGGGGTAGAAGTGGCTATGCCCTTTGATGTGGTCGGCTCAGTGGGGTAGTCTCTGCCAGCTAAGCATATCAACAGCAGAATAGATCGTAGGGTGATGACAGGTTCTTGTCATTTTGTTCCATCAGAAGATACATGTACATGCAATGCTATGGCTGCAGCATTATTGTATGACTTTCCCTATTTCATTCCGTCTGAGACATAGACTTTGTATGGGAGTAGATGGGGAAAACCCAATTTCTTTCGTGTTCCTCTACAAAAATGAATTTCATACTACTCAAGTAGAATGTTTCCAGTCGGGATACCGGTAGAGTGCCATACATGTATATCCCATACCGAAGGTTGAAAAGATCCGACTTCTTTGGGACAGTGGAGAACCGAATATTGAAATTTCCCTATCCCCACCCTTCGCTAGCATACATGTAACTACGGTATTGGGCAACGATCATATTTGACTTTGCGAAGTAAAATAAAGAATACAAACACAAAATAGTCCCATACAAAGTCTGTCTCTCTGACGTCATAAATCCGGCCTGGTCTAGTCTGGGCAAGTTTATGACGTCATCATCATGATGTCACCAAATTTAGTGCAAACTTCAAGCTGGTATACAATGTAATTTGGGAACGGCTGCTCCGATCAGCCTTACAATGTAGACTTTCACCATTGGAATCAGTGTGCATTTCGCTACGGGTTGTGAAGTTCATGTTAGGGTGAACTTCCCCCTTTAAATACTGAGCGCAGGGATCTCGAGGGAGGGCATTTGCCAATAAGCAGAATCAGCTGAAGCGTCGTGACATCTCAATAAAACCTTCGTAACAACATGACGCTTCAGCTAATTCTGTTTATTGCCATCCTAATACTGAGAAGTGTTTGTTTTGATCGTGTCAAGCATGAGAGCACTGTAGACATATTATGCGGATAATGCCGGCAGAAAAATTGGCAGAATTCGGTACTTTTTCTGGGAAATTTCATGCATGATTGGTATGTGGATAAAGAAATGGAGCAGAATTCGAGGAATTGCCCGCCATAAGGTTTGTATGGCTCTGCCAATTTCACTGCTTTTCGAGCAGCATCTGCCACCTTTTCGAGCAGAATCCGCCAATGCCTAGAGCACGGTCTATATCGTGTTTACATTATTCAAGCGTTGTGGCAAGATTGAGGTGCTGTATCTCTTTCTTGCTATTAAAAATTTAATGGTTTGTAACGTGTTTTTCGTGGACGCAGGGCTTCCTATTTGCGTCGCCGAGCACGCTCATCATTTCTCCATCAATGCCGCTTGCATGATTTGTAGGCTGGCTGCATCAATAATAGTGTGTTCTGCGTCGTTTGCAGGCATGCTAGGTAAAATATTATTTTTCCTTGTCCCCGCGTGCTAGTTTGTACGTGAAGTGTGTGGGTTACAGTGAGGGCTGCGTCCCACCCGCCTGTGTGGATTCACAGGAAGTGTGAGTTACGAAGTCTGAAGAAAATGTTGAACGGCCTCTGCTGGGATGACGACCACACCATAGCTCAGTGGTTAGAGCATCGCTGGCTACAAGCGAGGGTCCCTGGTTCGAGTCCTGGTGGTGACAGTCAATTTTTTCTTCAGACTTTTCCCGTTTGTCTCTTTCCCTCAAATCAGTCAATATTTCCTTGTTAAATTAATAATAACGACCTACTTCTTGCGTAGGGATGTCAATTGAATAATTATCCTATCCATGATGGGAATTTTAACCGTATTGCGTGACTGATCCTTTCAATGTTCTAATCCTTCAAGTGACTTTTCCCTTTCTACCTGGACTCCTCCTTGTTTTCCCTTTTCTCTCTATAGCATGTGACAACATTACACTCACGTACCGAGCGTATTATTTGCAGTGTTCATTTTTTGCTTAAAAAGAGATGCATACTTTTAAGTTTTGAAGTACATGTCCCAGGGCCAAGGTTGGGATCATGTCATCCGACTATCGCCTACGAAGTACGATCTATTCTGCTGTTGATACATGTATGCTTAGCTGGCAGAGACTACTTAGTCGACCTGAGGACTCGACCGCACTATATTCCCAGTGCGGCAAGTGAAGAGAAAAGTAGAGAAGAGAGAAAATGACTGGTAGTGCGAGACTGCGCACCAAGTGAAGGGAAAGAACGAAGAGAACTTTAAGCCCACCAGAAATACACACACCCGTCCCGTGCAAATGCACAGTAGTTGAGATAATAAACAAAATAAAACAATTGATAAACGAGGTAACCGTAAGGGAGAAGAGTAGGTAGTGTGGCTAGAGAGAGAAAGGAAGGAACGTTCATTTGATCATGAAGTTGGGAAACAAAATTCACAGCTCGCGTCAGACTCGGCTAGAGGCCGGGTTTTCCGCATCCGCAGGAACGCCACCACCCTTCGAGGATCAAGGCGCAGGATGAAGTAAGTTGCGAACAACATGGTTACAAATCAGAGGGAGAGAATGGAACTGTGACGAACAGGAGAACAAGAGCCGGGTATGGGCAGATATCAAGTTAGCCCAGACCCATTCTTTACTATGCTGTTACTACATGTACATGTACATGTACTAGTAAAACAGAGAGGTTCCAGGCTGTCCAAGAAAGTGCTCAATACCGAGAGGCAGATCGCTGATTCAAACAATAAGAGGACAGAGAAAGTGTTTTAATTAACTCTGAGTTTCACGCACTAAGCGATCAAAATTACTGTTTTCTGATGATCGCTTAGTGCATGAAACTCAGAGTTAAAACACTTGTGCTAGTATACTGGGCCTAATATAAAATGAGATTGTGACTGTTCACAGAAAACAAATATTTCGACGACAGATCGTAAAACGACGTTTTGTCAAAAGACTGTTTATTCACAGAGTACATCCTACACCGACAGACAAATTCACAGAAATTTCAGAAAAAGAAAAACAGAAATCGCCAGGGGTCGGGTTTCTGTTGCCAGCACCGTACATGTACATGTAGCTGTCCGCAGTACACTGCTATCTACTAGGGCATGCTCCCGTCTTGCGGCTGTACCGCACATAGGACGTGTTGTAAGAGTGGCGAAAGTCGACGGAGTTGAGACACGTCACGAACGCACTGTCGCACGCACACGCCGTGGCGGAGCAGTCCGCGATCCGGCTCGACGCGTCGTTCCCCGCTGATCCTGCAACATCAACATAAAGTAGCAGAGATAATTGGAGACCTTGCCGCACGCTTGTGATGGTGCTAAGCAACAATTTCCGTCTGTAATCTGGGAGAAAACTGACCCACATGGGCATGCAACAACAACCGCTGCACTCATTTGACTGGAAATCACATCCGTTCCGCCTGGTCGTACCAGGGGCAACTGAAATCCGACCACCTGAGCAGTGAGTTCACATTCTAGCGGTCTCTACATGTATTTCGTAGTGTTACAATCCCGTGCTGAGTCTTTGCGATGTGGGCGCACCGCTCAGGGGTCGGATTTCAGTTGCCAGCACTGTAGTTGTCCTATAAGTATAAAGCAGGCAGTAGTACCTTGCCACAGTGGTCACCATGGTCACCGTGGTCACCATGGTCACCATGGTCACCTTTACTGGTTGTTCCGTAGTGTGGAAGAGTTCAGGGGAGATGGAGGCCTGGCGGGGGAGGGCATGGGCAGGGGAGAGGGAAGCCTGGCGAGTGGATGGGGAGGGGAGAGCAGGGGAGATGGAGGCCTGGCGGGGAGGGGAGAGCAGGGGAGATGGAAGCCTGGCAGGGACGCCGGGGAGGGCAGGGCATCCTTACCTGATATCCCCTGGCGATCACGAGTGCACACGGGTATGCCAGCCTTGCACTGCCACCGGTAGAGGTTGATCTTGGGCATACAGTGAGCGTCAGATCGCGAGGTTCGTCTGTAGCACCAGTCGTGCTGTTGGCAGCACCTATCGATCGCGTCCACAGGCCTGCCGTGGCCTCCAAAGCCGCAGTAGCAACCGTAGTTCCAAAGACTCAGAGTAGCATCCAGCGTGCCGCGGAGACCCCCCACGCCACACTCGGATGATCCCATCATGTTCACCAACTGAACGGCCTGTCGTTTGCCTAGTCCGGACTGCACAGCGCTACCGGGGTCCATCTGCCGGGACACGATGGGTGAGCGCCGGGAGGTTTCACGACGCGGGCCGGCGAGCCAGCTACGTCTTGTGCTCGTACGACCGTTCCGAATGTAGACGAGAGAAATACTGTTGGCCCGAATCTGCGCTGTGCAGACGTCCATCGCGCACACACCCAGCAGCACCAGCACCATTAGCCCATAAAGAACGGAACAGACCACGGAAGACCTTCTTTCGTCCATGATGCTGCGATTCGCTGGGCGAAGAAAACGAAAGCCGTCGATCAAATACTACCAATAATAATTGCTGAAGGTCGATGGGCGAATATTCGGTCGAGTCTGCGAATAAGTGGGGAAAACGATTTGCTATCAACACACGCAAAGTGTCGGCTCAGTGACTGTTTTCTCTTCTGCCTTCCGCCCAGAATTCCAGACCTTGGACTGAGAGGTCCCACGGGTTTGCTTTTGGAATTTATAGGAGCAACTGCTCGTACTTCTGTCTGTGTAGGTGGACTCTAGCTTGAGCATGCCACCTACGACAACACGTGAGAAAGGTGCAGTATTGCATGCAGATGGTTTTGTTTACGGCGAGTGGAAAGAAGGAGACAAACATGATACGCTTGAAGAGCCTGATTTCTTTCGTACTTCGAGAACGTGTGCACTATGACGATCAGCGACGCTAGCTGCACGGTGTTTGATTTCAAAAGAAGAGGAACAGCAATATCGTACTCGCCTTCTTGCTTCTGGCGAGCCCGGAGGGTTGAAAGGCAAGCGGGCACATCTGCCGATAGACTGTGCGAAGGTGTTTGCCACTTGCGTCTGTAATTATCGGATTGCAAAGATGAACAAGGATACGTTTTCACTGCGCAATCGAACACTAGCGTCACAATGCTTGACTGATCGTAATGAGGTTTTCTGGATAAAAGCATTTTCTTTAAACCGGCTCAAACCATCAAAGTCAGAAAAGTCACAATGCTTGCTCTCCGGCGCTGGAGATATGGCGTCCTGGTCATCATGCGTGACCTCAGTCTCTTCCTCTCGCGGAGACCTTTCCAGGAAGCCCAAGATTGTGAAGATTGAGTGAGTAGAACTGAAGTTACGTCCCAAAGAACATGAACATATGCAGAATTTTGAAATTTTCAATCGGCTCTCAAAGGGTTAATGCGAGAAGCATACTAGTGGAGGTTGGTAACGGTAACAGCTTCTCGTCAAGCTTTTGTGTTCAATCTTACACTTGCAGTTTGTTTGTTTAGCTTTTTATTTTACTTCACCAGAAGCACAGGCAAAATCTGCCTTCTCACTGGCCGTATTGCCACAGTTCTCGCAAAATGATGAAGATAGCGATAATGATAAGAAAAGGAGGAAGAGGAAAATACAATCATGAAAAAAGCACAAAGAGAAGCCGGAAACAAATCAAAGAGGGATTGTACTACAGGTAATGAGTTTGAATTTGATGAGGCGTTTCATGAAAATGATGCAACGGATCCAAAGGTTCCAGGGTTGAGGGAATGTTGACAGTTTATGAGTCTTGGACTCGTTTGAGATCTTCAGTTGAGCGTTCCATTTTATTGGCGAATGTGGGTTGTCTTTTTCCTTTGCTACTTACTTTAGGGTTTCACACGATTGGTGTTGTGAATACACCCACCCTCAGTGCAGGTGTAGCAAGCTTCACACGAGGGCAGGTACAGGTAAAACTAGCAGTATCGAAGGTGTATGCATGGTTTATCGCCGGTATTGCCATGCGGATGATTTCACGGTTGTCTTCTTTCACGATGACAAAAGGACTCGGAATCGGCTGGCTATTGGCTAACGTTGTTGTTGAACGTTACGGATATATCCTGTATCTCTTCTTGCGTGCATCATCACGTGGAAACAAGCAGTGGCGGTTCTTCTTATGTTGAGCCTTACAGACATGTGACAGGGCTACCGAATATCAAATTACCAATGCCGTTAAGTAGATCTACTGATGGTAACCAACTGCACAAACTCAGTCTGGGTGCCACAACTGAACAGCACGCACTGCTATACTGGCTCACAGTGCACGCACAACATGTGATGTCAATCATAATAGTCAATGGTCAACTCCATGTTCAACTTATGCCGCTTATTGATTCTTTGTTCACCACATTGAGTAGCCTACGTCCAGTAGTGGCCTCTGCAGCGTTTTATTTCACTCGTATGAAGAGTCATTTCAATATCTTCAACGTAACATGGTTTGCTTCAAGTCACGGTGAGCCAGACTCACGCTGATTGAGATAATTTTCGTAACTTATCATCACAGCATCCTCTGCTGGTCAACACTAAACAGCCATCCTATCACATTTCTGCATAAGTAGTATTTTCTTCTTATAGCCTCACAGTGCGCGCACATGTAAGAAGGCATAGTTGCCTGCTTGTGATGCGACTTTAAATATAAGTAGAACAACCGTCTTTCTGGGTTTTGCGACGAGTATCAAGAAAATTAAACAAACAGTTTGGCCGGTGAGTGACTTTGATCGATGTCGAACTTTTGGCAGTCATCAAACTACGATGTAACTTCGCCGATTTGGACTTGCCTAAAATCGCTCGAAGGAACAGTACAGTTTTTGTATTTAGCCCTTGGCGGACAATGCTCGAAAAGTTGGCAAATTCTGCTTCAAACGCAGTGAATTTGGCAGAACCATGCGAACCTTATGGCAGGCACTTCCTAGAAATCTGCTCCGTTTCTTAATCCCTACACCAAACATGAATGAAACATACCAGAAAAAGCACCAACTTCTGCCAAATATCCGGCCCACGTTATCGCCAACGGCTACCAAAAGTTGCCAAGTTTGAGCTGGCAAAACACGACTCGTGTTGCATTATTTCCATCCGTGACAAATTTTGGTCGGCGAAGTACTTTGGCCAGTTGGTACCAATCATCACTTTTACAGAAGATCCACATTGTGGCTAGGGTCCAGCGGATAATGCCTGCATTATATTCAGCATTATGAGACTATCCGAGAATCAGAGCAGTATGGAGCACTAGCAAGGAATAAGACGAGCATTATGTGAGGTTTGAGCGGCATAACGAGTTTCATAGTAGATAATCATTCGGGAAATCTCAGGTTTTTGGCAACAATCGGCTAAAGCCATGAGGTGCAAACACCATGCACTGGCTTTAGCATCAATGCTACATTGACCTGACTACATGTACAGTGTAATGCCATTCCTACATAAAGTCTTTGTGATTGTAGCAACGTAGTCAGGTGATGTAGCATGCACAACGTTGCAACTGAGGCTGTTACACAAAAACCGTAACGATGATTTACGAGAAGTTCTTTTTAGAAATCATGGAGAGCCAGGGAGGAGACTAGACGTACGCGAAGTGAATATCAAACAGACAAAGAGGAGTTTTCCTGCTAAGCCATAGGCTCTGGCCATAGCATCTCTAGCGATACTGAAGTAAACACTGATCCATTGATAAATTTGGACCTGGATGAAGGAGCGGCTATAAACAGAAAGAGCTTGTTCCAAATAACTGCCTTTGCTGAGTCCAGCTCACCAGGCTCGAAATGAACTAGAATTTTTCATAGACGCAGTACCAAGTCGATTTGAGTGCTCAGGAGCGCGTGTCTTACTTTCCTGGTGAAGCACATCCAGTTCGTCGTGGACGATTGTAATGCAAGGCCTACAGTCAAGTGCCATCAGAAAAGAAGAGTATTGTGGCCAACCATTTTGTCTCAATGCAACCTCCGGAGAAGACGACAGCGCAAGCGGAGGATATAGAGCGGCAAAATAACTTCTGACCACACGTTTTCAGGATTTCCGGAAATGGGAGGGATCTCGATCTGAGATCGGCTCTCAGGAACTGGCCTCGCGCGAGCTGTTTCGGATGACGACATTTTTGACAGAGTGGAAGCAGTGACAGCTTGTTGTTGTTGTTGTTGTTGTTGTTGTTGTAGAAGTTTATTTAACGTCGCACCACAAACAGGCGATTTCGCCTCCAGCTTCCAGCATCCAAATGATCACCAGCAATAATGGTTTCACCTCTCACTTCATGGATAAGCAAGGGAAAAGACTTGATGCACCCACTATTCAGCCACAGCCCTGCATCAAAGTTACAATAGAGAGCAGAGCAGCCAATAGGGCTTGAAAGTGATGACGTCAAAACGGCCAGGGAGTAGTAAGTTGACATCAGATTTCTAATTTTGGATCCACTAAGGTGTGACTTTGCTATTGCCTAAGTATGTGGGTGCATAGCAACCCACTCATGTCGCATGCAGGTGTGACTTTTATTTCGCCACCAGTTGTAACCCCGCCCCAAGTAGCCAAATCAGTCAGTTTCACTGGTTACATCACCTTGCTGAGAGTAAGACGGCTTGAAATGTGCTTGGATCCATACAAAAACTGGATCCAAGTGGATCCAATTTTTGTATTTTTGAAATTGTTGCTATGCTGTGACGTAGCACTTTCAAGCCCTATGGAGACGCGATCATGTCTTATAGTGCTAAGATTAGTAAGAAGCGGTGGAGCTCGTGAGAAATATTGTAGCAGCTTCAGAGGCAGATCGACTACAAGTAAATGCATCCTTTCCTGGAAGTTTGACAATGAGCAGACTTTCTTCTATATTTTTGTTCCAAACCAAGAGCATTATAGCTAGCCTTGTTGAAGCATTATAATCAGCATTACAAGGTAGTTTTTTGGAGCATTGTGATTAGAATTATACGAACATTTTCCGCTGGACCCTGATTGTGGTCACATGTACTGTACCGGTATCCGCCTCCAGTGAGACTCCACCTATCGAGTCCTCTTCCCGGGTCATCTCAAACCGAATTCATTGTTCGTTTTAAAGGGGAAGTATACCCTAAAATCAAATTTTCACCAGTTGTAGTCTTCGGGGTGCTGAGTCGAATGGTCTTGGTCCGAGGAAGCTGAGACGCTCCCTTCCTACTTGAATCCCAATCGAACTCGCGCACTTCCACCGAAACTGGGTGACTGCGCCCTACTAGATGGGGATTTGTATGCAAAATGTCACTAAAAGCGCCATTTCGTTCTTATAAAAGCACGGATGACCGCGATTGGCCCATATGTTGTAGTCTTTTGGACGCTGAGTCGACTGGTTTTGGTCCGAAAAGGCTGCGATGTAGCGTTCCTCCTTTATTCCCAATCGAACATGGTTGAACAAGCGGTCACGTGCTCCTGCGTACACCAGTCACCTGGTCACCGTGCCTGCAGGGTACAACTTACTAGCCTGTTTGACCTTTTTTGGGTGCACTCCTGTCACTCGAGTTGAACTCGAGTTGAACTCGAGTTGAACCTTGGTGTGAAATTTGTCGCCTGCTGGCGTGGTGACCAGGTGATTTGGGCACCCAGGAGCACGTGACCGCTTGTGCAACCATGTTCGATTGGGAATAAAGGAGGAACGCTGCATCGCAGCCTTTTCGGACCAAAACCAGTCGACTCAGCGTCCAAAAGACTACAACATATGGGCCAATCGCGGTCATCCGTGCTTTTATAAGAACGATATGGCGCTTTTAGTGACATTTTGCATACAAATCCCCATCTAGTAGGGCGCAGTCACCCAGTTTCGGTGGAAGTGCGCGAGTTCGATTGGGATTCAAGTAGGAAGGGAGCGTCGCAGCTTCCTCGGACCAAGACCATTCGACTCAGCACCCAGAAGACTACAACTGGTGAAAATTTGATTTTAGGGTATACTTTAAATACCTTGCAAGCTTGGTTTACAGTCTTGTGTGGACCAGGCCAGGCACGGGACACCGGGCCGGGTGTCACTGCTCCCGGGATCAGTACACAGACGCATGCACTGGATCTTGGTTCTCACGTGCTGCGAGTAGCGCCAAAGCGGCGTCCGCGACGCTATTCGAGGGAGTGAGAAGTCACACATCCTCTTTCACGTTCAAAGAACTAATAAAACTCTTTGCTGCAGAACAAACTGTCATTCATTTCCAGTTCAGTCCGTTGGTGTAGAGTCAGTCTTGTTTTTCTGTGAGTTCGTTGTCTCGTGTAGAGTTCACTTGTCTTTCTTGTTGAAGTCTTTTATTCCTGGAAACCTAAATTGTTCAGTCCGTTCAATGAGTTACCAAACCTAATGCGACAAACTACGAAATACTCGCGCCGCAGAGCCAATGTTGTAATTCTGTTTCTCACTCACGGTAAGCAGTAGAGTAGGTGTTCAGCGTCCCGTGTTCTTCTGACCTTCTAGTTATTTACTGCCGAATTCTCGCCCCTGCTGACTCAGTGGTCTCCTTCGCATCGCTGTCTTTTATTTTCTGTCCGCTCAGGAGTTGTGGAAGCACTGCAAGTGAATTGAAGCGAATGACCATGTGTATGTGCAGGACATTTTCTGTGCATTCGTAGCACAAGATCAATAAAGAATGAAGAGTTAAATGACCGTACTGTTTAGAGGGACAGTGTGGGTGTGTGTGCGTGCGTGTGTGTGCGTGCGTGTGTGTGCGTGTGTGTGTGTGTGTGTGCGCGCGCGCGCGCGCGCGCGTGTGCGTGTTTGTGTATGGGTGTGTGTGTGTGTAGGTGTGAATGATGTTAAATGTGCAGCTTGAGAACAAGACTATCTACTCTGCTCCCCAACTCTTACCCAGATCCGGTATCACAGACATGGCAGAAGCAGCAGCGCCACCACTAGAACCAGCAACAGCAGCAGAAGCAACAGTAGCACCACCACAAGTAGAAGCAGCAGCAGCAGGAGGAGCTGGGGCGAATGAAGCTCGCGATGACGTTCCGGCTGAACTGCTCGAAGAGTGGAGAAGGTGTGTACTAGTACCCCGTGACCGTGTGTGTGTGTGCGCGTTTATGTGTGTGTGTGTGCGTGTGTGTGTGTGCGTGTGTGTGTGTGTGTGCGTGTGTGTGTGTGTGCGTGCATGCGTGCGCGCGCGCGCGCGTGTGTGCGTGCATGCGTGTGTGCGTGTGTGTGCGTGCGTGCGTGTGTGTGGGTGCGTGCGTTTGTGTGTGTGTGTGCGTGTGTGTGCGTGTGTGTGTGTGCGTGTGTGTGTGTGTGTGGTGCGTGTGTGTGTGTCTTTTGTGTGGAATAGTGCGCCAGTGTTACTGTGTTGAGCACTCTGTGCTGGCTAAAGGAAAAATTCTTCCTTGCATGCGTGTATACCTATGTACATGCGTGTATAACTATAATAATTCTACATGTAATGAATACAACTGTATGTGCACTCATATTACAACCATAGCGACGAATAAAGTATTCCCCCCCCCCCCCCCTTTCCCCCCCCCAGAGCGTTTTCTTGTCACAATTATCAATGGAAAGTCGTGACTAAAGAGAATGATGAAACTACAATAGGATTTATACACTTGGAGTGAAAAAACCCACGAGGATACAAGAATAGTAAGAAAAATAGCACACGCTTTGGAAAAATTGCACTGGTAATAAAATCTATACAGGTGAGAAATGATAGGAAATTCAGGAAGTGCAGTGTGACAATGTACATGCATGTGCAAGTGTGTGTGAGTGCGAATTTACTGGAATAGCGTAAGTGCATTACGTAACTTGCCTTCATCACGCTCTGAAAGCATGCATTCAAACTCACAATTTTCTCATACGAGCCCATCCGTTTTTGCTCGATTCATTCCAGTACCTACGCAATCTCTAAATTTTGGCGCGTGAACTCCACTTCCGTAGGAAAATTCATTTCAAACCAGAGGGAAAGCGCGGTGTTTGATTTTCCACAGTGCGCGGACTGCAGCTGAATGATGTAATGAAGGCAGCGCGCCGCGCATCTGGCCCATAGAAAAGAGATCACAGTTGCATACTCTTGTTGTTTATGGACTCTTGACCGTACACATCAACGTGCTCTAAGGGTATGGCAGCTTTTAAAAAGCTGTGGCGCTGGCGCTTGTATGATGCCCGCGTACCACGTATGCAAGTAATACGCCAGCGGAGCAAACACAGCGACAATGCAGATCGAAGTTGTCCCATGACTACAGAATAATGTAACTCAGGATTTTTCTCAACAACAAGCGATACCAAATTTTTCAAAAAACGAGACCCCTCTGGCCCACACATGCCTGAAGTTGAAAAACTAACGGTGTAAATAATGCTCTCTCTACAATATTTACACGGGCACAATATTCTCTCTTTTTGGCCTGTTCATGGGTCTTCAGCTGACGCAGGACGTCTGTACGCGACAGCAGGCTTGCCTTCGGGTGCGTTACCCGTACATCAAAAAAGGCATCCTGCTGCCGGGTCCAGAAGCCCCGCGCCCTGATATCCAGACGCGCCTCCAAAGACCGGTTCGCAGTTCGATGTGGTAGTGTTTCTCCTTCGAACGGCTTGAGAAGAGGCTCCTTCTCCACATCTGGCAGTATTTCCCGAATAGCTTCCGACAGAATGTCCCGGATCTCGTTATGTCTTGCAATTGGATAACCACCCGCCGGGCAACTCATGGTATGATCTATTGTCATGTCCTGCCCACAAATACAGGAACTGGACACTCCCTCCAATGACAAACCATATCGAATACAAACAGCATCACGAAAATCCGATTTGTTCAGGATTGAACTGGGCGTTACGAAAGACGGCGGGGAGGATAGCCAATTTGAAACACCCTTCTCACCAGCCGTTTCCAAACAAAAGCTGTTGCGCCGGTGGTAGCATGGGGCGCAACTGTGCCACTCTTTCTTCCTGTTTCTTTTGCCGCTGCTGACGTGACTGACGGGCCCGCTGTCGAACAGCCCCGATGGCATCAAGGATAACATCGGTGCCCGAGCCTCCGGCTGCGTCATCCAGGCTAGTGATCCCCGGCCGTGGTACAGGATTTAGGCGGAAATCGTCGGGTAGAGATGACGATAGAATCAACCCGGGATAATAGCCCCGAACGTTGTGAGGCTGTTCCGCACCCGCAACGGTCAGAGGCTGTGTGGAGGACCGGTATGGAGCAACAGGCGCCTCGTCCTCATCATCGTCATCGTCCTCTTAATCATCATTGTCACCTTCACCTGTCATCGACTCTCCCAGCAACTGACCACCGGGTTCATCATCATCGCTGCACATGTCGCTTCCATATCCCTCCTCCCGCTGCTGTTCTCAGAATTGAGCATGGAAAAGCGGAGAAAGTCATGCTCCGAAAGAAATGCACGGGCTTGACGATACAGCCGCCGGAATTGTGACCGTACCTTGCCCAAGGTATCAGTAGACCTAGCAATGTCATCTGTAATGAATGTTTTTTCGATGGCCAACGACTGGTGCGCTTTGGCTTTCTGTACTCTCTTCTGGATGGCATTAGGGCAAACACCACAATCCAGACATTGCCGAAGAAACGTTACATTCAAGGCAATACACTTTAATACAGACATAACGCTTTAAATACGCAGCGCCCTATTCAGACACTCGATCTGATCGCATGTGTATCTCCGCTTAAAATATGTAAAAAGGCGACGTGGAGACAATAATCCCCCGAAGTTGGTGCTATTTTTCTTACTATTCTTGTATCGTCCACCTCTCCACGCTGCGCTCTTGGCCCACATTCACAACACCACACCATAGCGAGGAAGTTCGTTCTTGGGTAGATGTTCCATATCCTCCAGACAGCTGTTTCGTTCATTTTAAAGAGCTCCTCAGTGGAGGTAGATAACGAATGAATAGCAGATAAAGGAATAAGTATATTTATAGGGTATTGGTAAAAGTGGCGCAATTGCGCACTTTCTACGCATTTTCTACATAGAAAAGTGGCATACCCAAAGAATTTTACCCTATAAATACACTCATTCCTTTATCTGCTATTCATTCGTTATCTACCTCCACTAAAGAGCTTTTAATGAGCGAAACAGCTGTCTGGAGGATATGGAACATCTACCCAAGAACGAACTTCCTCGCTATGGTGTGGTGTTGTGAATGTGGGCCAAGAGCGCAGTGTGGAGAGGTGAACGGTTCAGTTTTTATTTTCAAATGTTAAGTTGTCGCTACTTTTGAATTCTTGTATCGTGTTTTTTTCACTCCAAGTGTATAACTCCTATTGTAGTTTCATCATTCTCTTTAGTCACGGATTCCGTTGATAATTGTGACAAGAAAACGTTCTGGAATACTTTATTCGTCGCTATGGTTGTGATATGAGTGCACATATAGTGGTATTCATTACATGTATAATTATTATAGTTATACACGTCGCCTTTTTACATAATTAGACATGTGTGTAACTATTTTCATGCGTGTATAACTAACTGCATGTGTGCAATCTCTATCTCTACATCCTGTGTCATGTGTAGTGAGCAGGAACGCATGCGTGATCTAATTCTAGATCAGGATGATCTCCCTGGCTGGGATGGCAGTACGCTGGAAGGCCTACGTGTGGTGGCCGGCATTGATATCTCATTCTTCAAGGACAGTCATGTGAAAGCCGTGGCAGCGCTGGCCCTGCTCAAGTTCCCATCCTTGGAGGTTAGGCTGGCGTGTTTATGCGAGGAAGTGTGCGTGTGTGTCTGTGTGTGTGTGTGTGCTTGTGTTTGCGTGTGCGTTTGTGCGGGCGTGTGGCCAGTCACTTAGAGAACATGCCGGATTGTTCTCTTCTTTGTACGAATGAAAGCGGCTCACATCTTCTGGTGTACCCCTGGGTAGGACAACCTGGCATGTGAGAAGGGTGCATGGAATCCGCTCTTGAGGCCGGGTTTTCTTCAAACGTAGTCTTTGTGGCACCCTTTCCCCCAGAAGAGGGGTGCCCAGACACCCGGGGCACCCCTTCCCGGGAGTGCCCAGACACCCGGGGCACCCCTTCCCAGATCCCAATTGACTATTGTGTGCTGTACTTGAGGGGCTAAACCGGTCCACGACACCTGTCTTTCTATTTCTTGTACCCGCCATGGTTTCTCACACACTCTGGTCACAGCACTTGCACACGCTGGCAGTGGACGTGGAGCTGACGCAGCCGTACAAGTGCGGCTTTCTCGGCTTTCGCGAGGTGCCGTTCATGGTGCGCCTCCTGGACCTAGCCCGGCGCGACTTTCCCGACCTGGTGCCGCAGGTGGTGCTGGTTGATGGCAACGGGGTCTTGCACCCGAAACGTAAGTTACGTCTTGCTGATAATATTTATACGTAAGTAGTTTTCTCGCAGACAAAATGCAAGAAAGCTCAAGAAAAACAACCTTCAACTCCAGTATCTTTTTTAAGGATTCAAAAACTCCACTGCCACCGTGTACACATCAATTTTCTCAATCGAAGCACACACACGTTGTCGCTCTACAGTAAAAACAACTTCACATTGAGACTCGTGAAAATCATCAGGTTTAGATCTGGATGTACTTTGATACATGTACAGTTGCGCTCGGTGAAATCCGACCCGGAGTGCATATTTGGCGCCCTCAAGTAGCACGGCCCTTGACGCCCTGGAAGTGGTACGAATGTGGCTGGACGTACACATGATTGTACAACTACATTGATGTAATCGGAACTAGTCCAGGGCCACAGCTTTGCACTTCGGGTCGGATTTCACCGAGCGCAACGGTATATGGCTAGGGTCCAAGATGACATGTCACAGGTGATCTCTTGTTGCGTTAGACGACGTTAGCACAACTACTCCACCCATTATGGCAGTTCATCTTGTCAATCCAGATCTGCTGCTGATGACATGTCATGATCATGTGTCCCGTGTGTGTGTGTGTGTCTCGTATGTGTGTGTGTGTCTGTGTGTCTCTCTGCATGCAGGCTGTGGGTCTGCAAGTCACTTTGGTGTCGTGGCTGACTGCCCCACCATAGGTGTTGCCAAGAATCTGCTGTCTGTTGCGCAGGACGTGACGGAAAAGACCTTCCGGCAGGTTAGGAATGTCCCTTGTACGCTGCAAGTGGCTAGTAATTTTACACACATGCACACGTGTGCACATTCGCACACGTGTACATACGTATGCATGCATACTTAACCCTTTGCACGCCAGCGTCGCGTATACGCGACACTCAGAATGTTCCCTGGATGGCCAGCGTCGAGTCTACGCGACGCACCCAAAGTGCACAGTGTACACTACACATCACGGCATATAGACGAGTGTTCAAACTATCGTAACTCACTCAAACGGCAAGGGATTCTCACGAATGATCCACCGTTGGAAAGGTATTGGACTCCGCTTTCCACTGATGTAATGATCTTCGCGATGGGCCAATGTATGACTGAGCGCCGACGATGTGAACAGCTGGACATTTCAAATTTCACCTGCCGGCGATCAACTCAAACTTTTTGCTCGTCACTACGTGCATGCTGGGGATTTCCCTTGAGCGCAATGCATGCGTATTGGGTATCAAAAGAAGCGCTTGAATCTCAGCTTTCCTTTGCAGTTTGAATCGTGAAAATCCTTTCAGTGTGAGTAAGGAGACGATAGAAAATGCGAGATGTTGTTTTGCAATTTTGAGGCATGGTAGGGGGACTTGGAGAGAATATAGCAGTCTTCCTGGCATGTCCTTTGATCTAGAAACTATCATGGTGTCTTCGTCAGATCCAGATCTTTCCAACAAGCCATAGATCGTGGAAATCCGTCAATGTGAAGTGACAATAAAATAAATTTAGTTCTGAACCTGAGCATGCAGGTGAGTGCATTGTGAGTTTGCGTTCACCATGACGTGGCCAGCACCCCCGATCAAGGCTTGGCTGGGAAAGGGTTAAACGCGCACACACCCCCACACACACACACGCGCGTGCGCGCTCGCGCACACACACACTCTCTCTCTCTCTCTCTTTGACCTGTACATAGTGTACAGAATGAGTTGGTTAGTCTCAGGTGGGATGTATCACAGTTCCTCTGTGTCTGTTGTCTGCTGTTGTTTTCAGGAACACAAGGATCGTCTTGCCCGCCGCGGAGATCAGCACCCGATACTGGATGATGATGGTCGTACTGTTGGAATGGTGAGTCTGATCGTGTGTGTGTGTGTGTGTGTGTGTGTGTGTGTGTGTGCGTGCGTGCGTGTGAAATGAAAAATGAAAATTGGGATTCACTGGCCAGAAAAAAGCCACTTCAAACAGCTGTGTGGTGGATCCCATGCTAAAATTAGTGGCGTATTATTCTGCTTTTATCTGCATGTGTGTACTTCAAAGTATGTGTGTGCGTATGTGTACAATTCCTGCAGGCATACGTGAACTCTGACTCTGGCAAACCAGTCTATATCTCTGTTGGTCATCGTATCAGTCTGGATACTGCTGTTGCTGTAGTGGAGGCATGCAGCAAGCACCGTGTGCCAGAACCAGTTAGACTGGTAAGCTTACCACGACTGCCTCTGCGTTTGTGTGTGTGTGTGTGTGTGTGTGTGTGTGTGTGTGTGTGTGTATATGTGTGTACATGTGTGTGTGTGTGTATGTACATGTGTGTGTATGTACATGTGTGTGTATGTGTATGTGTATGTGAGGGGTGACTGCAGTTGGATCCCGGGACGGATACCCTGATGCTGTCAATCCTGTTTCTGCACCTTGTCCTCACCCACGTACTGAGGTGTGGTGAGCCCATAAGTGGGATCATTTTCAAGTCCACCCAGAGTTTTTGGGGATTTCAGGGGGTGTCGGCCGTTGGGCGGTTCAATAGCGAATTGAGTCATCTTTCCAAGATTCCTTTCGAGTCTCTCTCCCCTCTCCCGGGGAACCCACGTGACCAGTTTTGGCAGTGAGCAACAAGTACAAGTGTGCATGTATGTGTGTGCATGTACGTGTGTACATGTGTGTGTGTGTGTACATGTGTATGTGTGTGTGTGTGTGTGTGTGTGTGTGTGTGTGTGTGTGTGTCTCCCTCTGGGGAGCGGCGTGGCCATTTCTGGCAGCTGTCAATAGTAGTAGTAGTAGTGTGTGTGTGTGTGTGTGTGTGTGTGTGTATATGTGTGTGTGTGTGTATATGTGCGACAGGATAGGATATGTGTGTATATGTTGTCTTGTACCTGTCTGCAACCACCAGGGCTGTTCGTTCAAAACTAATACAATATGCTGTTTCCTATGTGCCTCTGTATGTGTCTGTCTGTGTGTGCATGCGTGTCTGTTTGTCTGCCTTCCTGCCCCTTCTTTTGTCGTGTGTCTGTGTGTCTGCCTTCCTGCCCCTGCTTTTGTCTCCATCTCTGCCTATATATCAAATTCCTTCTCTTTCCTCCTTCATTGCGTGTGTGTGTCTGGTTTAGGCCGACCTGGACTCTCGCTCTGTGGTACGTGACCGCCTGGGGGAGCAGATGATGCTGGAGCCTCCCAAGGGACGGGACGTGCGTATTTATTCAAACGAGCGCTAGAGACGTCCAGTCAGTGTGTCGCAGTGCAAGTCTGGATTCGTCTTGTGGAACCTTCCCGCTATTCTCGTCGAATGTCGAGCTGTACGCGTGCGTGGTGTAAGGAGTACTGCAGCCTTTTCTACGAGTGTTGACCTACTGTACATGCATATAGCATCGGCCTTTCCTATCTGTCTTGACCTACACTGTGCATGCGCGTGACACAAGCCTTTTCCCATCTGTCTAGACCTACATGCGTGCGATGCAGCAGTATTCGTAATCTATTGCGCGTTGAGCTACAGTCCGCTGCACTGCAGTCGCTCCTACACGCCTCGACCTATGATCATACGACTGTCTGCTACAACCGACGTCCTACTGAATTCCAGCCGGATGTATGTACACTGCTCGGACTGGATTTCTCCTACGCGCCTCGACCTATGATCGTGTCACTATGCCTGCTGCAGCAATTAATGTCGTACTGAATTACAACAGGGTCTGTGTCAGTATGTGCACTGCTCGGGCTGGATTACGACCAAACTCACTGCATGTGCGAACAGGTGCGTCTTCTGACTGTATTGTTTATGAACGGATTCTGCAGAGGTAAACGGATACCTATCGTGAACTTGAGTTTGGAAAGCACCAAAGTGCTGGGCACAGTCTTGTGTAACAGTGCGCTGTGGCAGTAATTTCCCCTGTAATGAGCCTAACAACATTGAGACCACTAGCCGACCCGGGATCGAAAAGTTCTGTATTGCGTATTTTGGCCAATTCAATGCTCCACTGCCGCTCACAGTTGTTGCGTGTGATTGCTTTGGTACTGACTGGTCTCTGACTGCTATCCGAACGACAGTAGACTACTCACCGCTACCCGGAGGAGACTTCTTGCTCACTGCTACCCAAATGAAAGAGTGCACAGGACAAGCAGATAGTACAATATACAGCGTGGTGTGTGCTTGCAATAAATGGCAAGCTTCGTAGACAGCCTGGACTGAATGCTTGGAAGCAAAGCAAAGATTATTATAATTATAGTACTAGAGTTGCGATCAATTATTATAGATATTCCTACGGTCATTCTGTCATTGAATAATATTTTAAATATGAAATTGTTATGACAATTCAGATTATCTGATACGAGTTCGTGAAAGGTTATAAAGGCAGATAAATATTCTAGGCAACTGTGGCGCCGAATCTTCAGCTCTCGTCACGAGGTTTTTCGTGTGCTGCCAGTGGCGGAGCTGCCGTTTGCGGCTGACCTCTTGTGCGCATGCGTTCTTGCTGTCGGTTTTTCTCCTCCTGCAATTTTCACATTTAACAACAGGCGAGTGCAAAACAGGCGAGTGTTGTTAAAGATAGCAAACAGTAGTAGTAGTTACATTATTGGCACATAGAATTCTAATCTTTCTTCTTTAGAAATTGCTGTATTTCTCGTCCTTATTTGACCCCTGCTAAAGTTACTCTGTATACTTTTTATTCATGCGTGATAAGAATCCATTCAGCATATCAACCAGCATTTTTCAAAGATTTTACTTACTGATCAGCTTATTATGTGAGTGAAATATTTCCCTTTTCCATTCCCTCAACTTATGAATAATTTGAAAATTGAGGTTCAATTTTACGAGCTTTATTGTACCCTTCGAAAGAATACCACCAGTGAGTGCCCCTGCCCGGGCCAACCCTACCCTGACCACCCTGGCAGGGCTTAATTTAACCGGGCAGGGCAGGTCTGGTCAACGTACGGCCTTGGCGACAGGTAGGCCGGCAGCATGGATTCGGGATCTCTGGCATGTGCGAAAATAGCAAGCTGGCTTGGCCGGGCGCTGGACTCGACCCGGGATCAGCCTGCCCGCTTGACATCTAAACGCGCAAGTATATGATGGGTAGATCCCTCATAATGCATGCGGATGCGTATTACTTCTGCACCATAAGTGGTTCCCTGCCCCGGGATGGCCCGGTCCAGTCACTACCGGTGGATGTGAAGGAAAACCACCGAAACGTGTACGGATGCAACCTGGCTATGACCAAAAGTATATCATACTCCTGCTGATGCTCACATCATGCAACTCAGAGTGCAGAGTATGCATATTTTAGGGCCTCGTGAATACTCCCTCTCGGGCATGTGGCTGGATGGGAGGTGGGCTGACTAGTGATACTACTCCTCACGAATATCCACGCATTGAATCACACACAGGGAGGGCACAGTGTATTGCCTAGTGCTACAGGTCTGGCCGGAGAAATCCATCATCGGGAGTGTAGTTGCGCCGCGTCAAAGTGCACAGAGCAGTGTGTGTGTGTGTTTGTGTGTGTGTGCACGTTTGTGTGTGGGGGGGGGGGGGGGGCGTGTAGTGCTAAGCCTAAGTCTGCGTAGCACCCGGCGCTATATCATTCACGAGGTTGGATTTCTCCGGCCAGAGCCGTAGGTGCATCGTCACCCCAGTATGACTACGAATGGGTCTGGGGACGGGGGAAGGCGCCGGGGGGAAAGTCCCTAATCCAACGACCCTCACCTGCATTCTCGTTGCCATGGTTCCGCGAAGCTGTTCCATCTCGTCAATGTCGGCGGTGGGAGCGGAGGTCTCACCGTCGGCGTTTGTTCGTGAAATTCTGGGAGAGACGGAAACGGGGCCGCCGCTAACCTTGCGAGCTGCTAGGGGAGATTTGGAGTCAGGGGAGACGGATGAACCAGCAGAAGCAGCGGCATTCTTGGCCGCGAGCCGCTCCTTGTGGCGACGCAGTGCCTGGTACAAGTAATAGCAGCAGCAGCAACAACACAACACGTGCATGGTGGAGCTTAAGATTGGCAATGAAATGAGGGAGAGTTACGATACATTCATGCACGCACATGCACTCCTTTCCCCAGCATAATATACGCACGTAAAGTTGTAAACCCCTGTCCCAACATATAAATGCACCGCCGTACGTACGCACGCACACATACACAAAATGAAGACTGATGAGGGCTCAATTTCACCAATCACTGTTTCACAGCAGCAAGGGCAACTACTGTAAATGTCGCGTATGAAATCAATTGTTTACGGCCGTATAAGCCGGGGTTCAAACCATGCTTCTATTCAAGTTATGCTTCTATTCAAGTTATGCTTCTACGTCAACATACCACGCATGTACTGGCACGAGTACTTTGCAGAGAGCAGCTTCTATACAATCATGCTTCTGTGTCACGGCGCACTTCGAAAAATCGCCTTCTATTCGAGTCATGCTTCGATACAGGTCATGCTTTTACACGCGACACTACAGTATGCCCAATATCCAATCACCAGCCTTCCTCCTTGCTCTCACCTCCTGCCGCTGCCGTCCTTTCTCCTTCTTAGCCAGTTCTTGGGTGACGGTGGCCGTGCGTACAGCTCTGCCATCGGCACCGTCCGCGAAATCCACTGTCGTGTTGAGTGTCTTCTCTCTCAGTAACTGCTGTTTAGCCTGCATAGCAATGACATAGTATAGTTTGTGGACAACATGAATGCGATATTTTGCAGGGGCATGAATGTAGAGTCAGTCAACTTTACGAACAACGAACTCAGATTTGCCAACTACAAGAACCCAGCCGACGGCATAGTTTGAACCCTTGGTTGTCGAGGTAACAAGTTTCTCTTTCGGGAAGAAATGTTCCTACTACAATAAAGTTAAAAGCAAGAGCTACTACTGGGTGCATCCTACTGCAGGCAAGCCCTTGCAAAGTGTACTCAACCCATACACTGTTTAGAGCACAATGATGGTGGTGGTGCTGTAGTCAACGCACTCAGAATTATACACTATTTTATACACTGTTTTATACATTATTTTATACACTATTTTATACACTATTTTGATGCAAGAAAGGTCATTCTCACCTTCAGCAATTCTTCCTGAGCTTTGCTTGTCTTCCTCTCCTGACCTGGCGTAGTGTCTTCATCACTGTCAGAGCTGTTGTATCGCTTGTTCAGCTTGTCCTCTTCCATGCGTGTGAGAGGTCGGGTTGGCGCACCACCAGCAGCTGTTTACAGAGTGGGAGAGAAACAGAGACAGGGGGCAGGGGGGGGGGGAGAAAGAGAACGAGAAAGAGAACGAGAAAGAGAGAGATAGAGAGAGGGAGGGAGGGAGGGAGGGAGGGAGGGAGGGAGAGAGAGAGAGAGAGAGAGAGAGAGAGAGAGAGAGAGAGAGAGAGAGAGAGAGAGAGCACAGAACAATAATAGAAAGTTCAGGGCATGGTCACTGAAGCACTCACACCCCGCCATCCACAATACCTTGCTAGTGAAACGAGGTAGAGCATTGCACTGCACACTTCTGATTAGTTTCTGCTCCTTACAGCAAGCATTGCTAAAATATTCCGCTCTCAAACTCCTGGTGTAAGTCAGCACACCATGCTGCATGTACAATTTCCAATGTCTGCTATTCACAGCAGTCACTGCTAAAACCACCCGCGCGCAAACTCCTTATGCAAGCCAGTGCAAAGTTCTGTGCACGTAAGACTTATAACTATCCATACTAGTACTCACCAACGGAAGCAGCTGATGCATGTGTTCGGAGTAAGCCTGTGCGAGGTCGATTAGCACCCCAGGATGTCAGTGGTCGGAATTCCTGTCCATGACGCATCGCACAAATCAACATACAGCCATACCAAGTTGAAATTACCTGTCACAGTGCAGACCTTAGGGTACTTTGGGAACTCCCAAGGAAAATATTAAATGCAGTGAAACGCGGATGAGACGTACCCCCTCGGGGAGTGGAAATAGTACCTAGTATTCGAGTTACTTCTTCTCCAAAGTTGACTCCTGGGGCTCCACTTTTACGATATATGTGCAGTATGTCAAAATGGACTCAGATGGAGAGCCAAGGTTTAATTTATACAAAAGAGAAAGACCAAGGAACTACAGGACCGTCGATCAGTGCCGTGCAATGTTATCGCATGAGCTGATTGTTTAGTAACTGGTGGTGTTAGTGGACAGTATAGCGTAACTTGTAGTTCCTTGGTCTTTCTCTTTTGTATTATGTTAAAAAGTTTCAAAATTATTTATTGCACTCAGAAAATGTACAGGCTAGTGCCAGCAACCGGGGCTTCCCTAGCCCTGGTTGCAAACATCCTCCTCCGCTTTGTCAACATACTGAAGTACCTGTCAAGCGAATCTGACATGCGCAAAGGTGTATGAAAACACCCAAACGTTTGTAGTAGGCGAGGCTAGCTCTGTTGGGACATGCTGAAAAATCCGCCATACACGAGTTGTACGTCTTATCAGCGTATGTCGCATCCGCACACATTCGTATATGCGCTTGGGCCGTCATCACACTACTTTCTCTGATTCCCGTTCATGTCTACGTCTACGGTGAAACATCCAAAACAGGTGGTCGTGTCATCAAATAGGCAAAGTTCCTGACCCGTACATACGGTCACGTTTTTGGAGAAATTTGAAGATTCGAACGCACGTACAAGGTCGCTTTGAAAAAGACTGGGGCAGATACGCACCTTCATCCCAAAAAGTTGTGTACGTCTACGTACCTCTTCGCTCTCCTCTTCCTCTTCTTCGCTTTGAGCTTCTTCCTCCTCCTCGTCCCCGCCGAGTCCATCAGGCAGTGGGACGTCATCACCTTCCTCGTCGTATTCTTGACCACCATACTCCGGTGCATTGGTGGTGTCCACCTCGCCATCACCAGATGCTGCTATTGGAACAGAAGACAAAGAAGAGCAGCAGCTACTTGTAACATCTTCATTTAGGCATCATTACAGGACGCTGTGTCCTGGCACTATGAAGCTCTATCCGTGCCTCAATCTCAAGTACATGTATTCCTGAAGATGGGGCCTCATCTCAGAGTGTGGTAGTAATGTAATTCTGCAGAAGGGAACAAGTTCGCCAATCGATTTCCATTCTGTTGCGTAAAATCCGTTTCAGAATGAGGTCAGTTTCGTCAACCCGGTGTCCGAAAGATGCTCACAGCCAATAGGCAGTGCCGACAGACGCAGGAGGGTTCTGGAAGGATATGGGGACTGTCACACTATGCGCTTGTCAATACCTATGTTAGGTACCTCCTCCTGTACATGTATATTGCCTTCTACAACCTTTTCCAAGCTGACCTGTATGCACCTCGTACTTACCCTCACATACTCACCTTTTGTACCGTTGGCCTGGGTAGCTACTTGCGCGCCCATATTTTTTCTGCCATAGCTACCCAGGCCCTTTATCTTGTGCTCGTTCTCTCAAACTCTCTCTCTCTCTCTCTCTCTCTCTCTCTCTCTCTCTCTCTCTCTTTCATAATGTAGTCGTTCGTCTTTCTCTCCATCTCTCCGTCTCCGTAATAAATGCCTGCCCACTACTAGTACCTGTCCCAAGTTGTTCCTTTGTGTCTGGGATTATGACTCCTTTGAGACTCAACACCTGTCAGGCGCGTGCACCACGTGGTTTTCTTGGAGCCCGGAAACCACCTTTTTGCATCCGCGGCCGCTATGAAGTGCATTCTGCAAACACTCAAATATTTCGTAACTTGGCTTTTCCTGAACGGAATTGAGTAATCGAAAGGTCTATTCGCATTAGAAAGTGCTCAGCTGTCGGCTCCAACAAATCCGAAGTCGATCCAAGGTCGAATAGTGGAGTTACGGCACTCGACAGGTATTTTACGTTCCATTGCAAATTTTCACTTCCGCACTTGGGTGGCAATCATTATTTGTCCTAAATATTTTCCTTTATTGCACGACAGTCCAGACATGCATAGACACGTTTGACGTCAGGCACAGGTCTTTAGCGGTCAGCTACAAAAGAAAGGAGCGCTCTACGATGAATACTACAAAAAAATACCATGGATCTTAGCGAATTGTCTCAATTTCCGGTTGCCCGTGTCTTCCCAGGGCTAGCCTATAGTGCCACTGCAGACTCAGACAGTGACATGGATAGACCTGCTTCTTTGACTCACTTACTTGCAAGAGTGTCTGAATCTTCCTTCACTACTTCGAACTACTTGTAGAACGTCGACTAGCCTATTCATTTATCCTGTGTCAGGAAAATGCCTTTGTACCACATTTGTTTTGATGGCTCGGTGGGACTGGCAGCCAAAAAAACTTTCTTTCAGTGTGTAATGTGTGTAATACTGCTGAATCTGCAGGTAGCTTATTGCAAAATGGCGGTCGAAATTTTTGGAAACCACCTTTTTTGACCCGGTGGACGCGCCTGCCTGTAATGGCTTAATGCGGCGTGCGTCATGCTGGTCATATACAGTGTAACAGTGTGAAAATTCATGAGATTAGCTATTCATGATAGGAATGATGACGTCATCGTAGCACGTAGGGTGGAGATGCATGAACGACCATGGAAGTGACCTGAAGAGAGGATGGACAATGAACGTGGATCAAACCTACCCTCCTGCTTTGCCAGATCTGCCTGTGCCTCATCACCAGCACCATGGGGCTGAGCGGTCTCTGCTGATGGGGGTCGTGGACTTCGGCTCACACGTCTGCATCATACACACACACACACACACACACACACACACACACACACACACACACACACACACACACACACATATAACCTGGAGATCTTGTATGTCAGTAAAACATAGCGTTGATCAAGGAGACCACTTATTCCAACACTCTCACCTAAATTCCGCTATCACCCCCGCCACCATACACTCTCATCCACACCACTCCCCTAATCACTTCCACCATCACTCCCACCACCATATGCATGGCAAATGCTCTTGCTGCGAGTCACATTTACAAGTCCATCACGGCCAATGAAGAACGTTTAGGCATCCAGAGGTATTGATGGAATGGAGATAAGCACCCCACCCCATACCGAGCTTCATGAACCCATCTCTAACAGTTCTTGTCGCAAGGATTAGAATTGACAATGGCTCATCTTGTATTGTCATCACCCGCTAAGTTTAATCATTCTCACCGTTTTCGTAGGCGTTCATTGACGGCCGCAGATTGCCGTCTTTTGCGTGACGTCTGTCCTCCCTGGTCTGTGCCCGCCACCGCTTGACCTTCCCCTGCAGCCTCGGCATGACGTAGGACATTGGTAGAGGAGGAACTGAAACGAACTCTTCTCTGCTCTGCATCGCCTCTGTGTGGGGTGGGTAACACGATAGCACAGGGGTTGCACAGTATGGACTGGTTTAAAACACTGGAAAATCACTGGAAAATCTTGGTGGTGACCGTACCGGACTACGGTGACTATACACAGGCAACGGACCTGTGTACCCCGCCCGCCCCGCACCGTTGGCTTGCCTCACCAGTACAGGTTCCTACTTGGAGCCCCTGCTCTTCCCATTGTTGTGTTCCAGTTACTACTCTCTCTCTCTCCCCCCCCCCCCCCCCCCCCTCCTCCTCCCCCCCCCCCTTCTCACGAGTAGGTTACATCTTCAGTAAAAATAATGAAACGCAATGAATAAAACTATAGGCGCACTCATATCACAATCATTGCAACGAATAAAGTGTTCCAGAACTTTTTCCCGTCACAATTAACAATGGAAACTCGTGACTGAAGATAGTATGCTATTATCACGATATGAGTGCGCCAAGGCTATAGTTGTATTCATTGCATTATTTTTTTTAAAGATTATTGTCTCCATGTCGCCTTTTTAAATAATAATAATAGGAACCCCTAGCTCACCCATCACCACGCTGTGCCTGCTGTTTCTTGAGCTTGTCTTCTCTCATGCGATTGTAGGTGGTCAACAGATCGCTCATCATCATCCGGTGCTTGTCCTCAAACTCCTTTGTTCTCTCCGTGGTACCCAGTGCGGGTGTGTTGTTGTCGACGACTACCGGTTCAGCCAGCGGTACAGGCAGCTTGTTGCTGCTCTTGCGTTTACGCACCTGGTGATACAAGACAGAATTGTTGAAGAGCAAAATTAATTAACTCACCCGAACTCAGTGGTGCACTGTCGTACCGGCGGATAAACACAACGTGCACACTTGCTACCAAAGTATTTTTTGGTATTGTATTTTATTATTTTACTTGGGCATTCCCAACAGATCCTAGGAGGTCTTCGTACAGGGTGCAAAGTGAGGATGTCTTTGAGCTATTGATACTGAAATAACTCCATGAAAGCTGTCATTTTTTCGAACAAATTCAACACCCAGGAGAGAATTGGCCAACAGCAATTATGGGATCGTCGTCCAATTTTGCATCCACCGTATTTTGTTGACTCGTGGGTTATCATCTAGTTTATGGCTGACGTAAATGGTCTTTACAGAGCCTGTTTACGTAACTGGTGTGCAGTTTACAAGATTTGAAAACAGAAATTAGCCTAAACTCACTACCGTAACAACCACAACACTCTAAAACACGTGAACATACGCATGCATGTATGCCCATACATAGGCAATAACTTAATAACACACATGCATGTATGCCCATACATAGACAATAACTTAATAACACACATGCAGCAGGACAATCAGTACACAACCTTTCTCTGTACAGACCTTCTTGTTCTTTCGCTTGAGCTTCTCCTGCAGCTTGGTGTCCAGCGCTCCATACAGGTCCATGGTGGTCAGGCGATACAGTCGCATGCCAAACTGGTGACTGATGTTCTTTGCTTGTGAGGAGGCCATGCTGTCGCCTCCCGTCGTTGGCTTGGAGAAATCCTCCACCGAGAAGATCGTGTCGACAAGAGATTGCCAATGACAAGAAGAACGCTGGACGAGGCACTCAACCAGTTTGTCTTGGAGACTGGGCAGTGTCTAAAGGACAAAATCAAGAACAGGACATGTCCGCTCTCGTTTCAGCCGCTAGCCATTAACCCAGCAGAGGCTATGTTATGAGTATGCGGAGCTTCAGGTGAAAAGAGTCTATGAAACCTAACACTTTAATAATAGCCATGAACGTCTCTCCGCAATCATAGTGTGTGCGTCACTTCAATTCTGGCAACACACTGTCAGCACCCGTATGCCCTGTACGAAGACTTTGACACACGTAGCTCCCCCCAAAGTCTTGATCGAGACCCCGGTGAAATCCACCTGAGCCTTGGTGATATGCGTCTGCAACTCCAGTAGTCATGAAGTGGGCATCCTGTTGCTACAGCACATAGTGTCTGCGATTCAAAATTTCAAACACTCCCATGGCAACAGAGTCTTTCAGTGCCCTATCTGCAACCTGGCAACCCGTCTCTACAGCAAGTAATCTATGAGATTCAAAAATTCGAAAACTCACCATGGCAACAGCATCTTTCAATGCCCTATCTTCAAGTTCAACCTGGCAAACTGTCTCTTCAGCAAGTAGTCAATGAAATTCAGAATTTCAAATACTCACCATGGCAACAGAGTCCCTCAGCACCCTGTCTTCGGTCTGCTGCTGACAACAGACAAGCTGTCGCAGCATAAGCACAGCCATGGGTTCCTGCTCCTCCGGTGACTGGCCACCACCGACGCCGTGATCGTCGCTGGCCTCGCGCTCGTCACACTGCCACATGGTCAGCACGGCACGAACGGCGGTGGCGTCGTGAAGGATACCCAGGCCGGTGGTGACGTCATCGTGTGCCAGTGGTTTCCAGTCGTCGCCGCACTCGCCAATCTGTCAACAGACACACGATTATTAACGTACAGAGAGTGAACCAATGGATGGATTAAAAAATCACAGTTCGTGCGAGACTCGGCTAGAGACCGACTTTTCCGCATTCCTAGGAACGCCACCACCAACAAGGACCAAGAACGTACGCAACAGCTAACGACGAACGACATGTCCATCGTTCAGAATCTCTATGCAAACACTAGGTTATACACGGTCTTGGAAGAGAATCTCTGGTGGTTTCGGTATTTCTAGGAACGTTACATCATCTCCACATGTCTCAGCTGGCAGCAGGGAATATCAATTTTTTGAACTTAGTATGACGACATTTGTAAAACAGGATTCACTAGAGGCATGCTCTGCAGATATACATTGATATATGCATGCTGCTGCTGCTGCACTTCATGCTGGGCATGTAAGTGGTCTTAGGAAAGTAATAAAACACAAGCGGCTGTAACAACAGACTACTACTGGTAGTGATTTTCAGTACCACGGACAACGCCATCCTAAACACATTGTTGAGCCAGCGTGCTTAGTGACTTCTACATACTCTAATTTCAGAAATTTTCGGTGCTCAATATTTTCGGTATGAGGGCAACAGGCTAGGTTAGGTGAACAGAAATTTTCGGTACAGAGAAGCAGTTCCCTATTGGATTATGTGTGTTAGTGTTTGTTCGTTGTATTGAAATTTTAAGTGTGAAACAGACGCACCGAAGGTACCGAAAATAAAAGTACACCGAAAATTTGTGAAATTACAGTAATGTAAAGTGAGAGACTTCGCTGGAGATTAAATTTCGCTTTTTTCGCGACCATGACACATTGGTGAATATAAATCGCCGCAAACTGCTCTGTACATTGATCGTAGACAGTATAAGGTCCAACTGCAGAGGAAAAATGGCAAAGGTTTCTCATCGCGAACCAGCCCAATTCATGAAAACGCAAAATCTGCGCACTGTGAAGTTTATTGCTTCACAGTAACAGGTGTGCCAGACCTACCTTGAGTGCCTCGTTGACTTGGTGCAATGTGTTGTCAGCATGCTCCTCGTGCCAGCTGTCATAGTCCTGATGTCGGCGTTGTAGCTCACTCTTCAAGTCCTCGGGTGACTGCTCCGTCAACTCCTCCATCCCGGGACGGTCCAGATCGCACAGCTGTGGCAGAACAAAAGAAGGAGAAGATACCGTGAATTATGTACAGGAAACTTAAAGTTTTGCTTGAAGACAGTCGCATAACGACAGGCAGAAATTGTTTCAAAACAGCAGATACGGATACCAAAGAGAAGCACATCAGTTGGACACCGGCGGGGGGGGGGGGGGGGAGAGAGAAAGAGGAAGAGAGAGAGAGAGAGAGAGAGAGAGAGGTGGGGGGGGGGGGTGAAATAGAGAGAGAAAGCAAGAAGAAAGCAATGTGAGACACACAGGTCTACAGGAGGCAACTAACCTGAAGCAACAGCAGCAGTATTTGAACCTCCAGTCTGTTCACGCTGCACCGTTGGTTGAGCAACTCTCGCACCATTGTGACACGACTTGACACACCATAACTGGCCTGCATCAATACCATGTACAGACCCATACAGCAATTAACAAAACTCGGAAAAAGAATGTGGGTGGTTGTATTTGATGGGCTTTTTTATACTTGTCTAATTAGAAATTACAAACACCTGTACACAACATTATTCCCCTTGGTAAGAACCTTTCTGGGCAAAGGACGCAGATATAAAGAAACCCACTTCCGTACATGTCCAGTTGTTGGAGTCTACCCCACATACACAGCACTGCCGAAGAATGTTGAGCCAAGGAACAACAGGCTAGAAGTTTAACAGTTTTACATGAAAGATAAAAATGACCTGCGCTACTGTCGGTCGCCGAAACACTGGGGGGGGGGTCAACCTCCTAGCCTGGACCGTTCTTATTTTCATGCATTACAGTCCTTGCACCCTTGAGTCACCGTGTATGCATTGGTATGCTGTGCTTGATGAAATTCTAGCCTGGTCGTTCTTCGGTACCCGACAGTACTGTAGGCTACGACTCTGAACCCCCCCCCCCTCCCCCCCCCCCCCCCACTCTAAATCCCCCCTCCCCCCACACTCTGAACACCCCCCCCCCTCCCCCCACACTCTGAATCCCCCCTCCCCCCCCCCCCCCACTCTGAATCCCCCCTCCCCCCCCCCCCCCAATCTGAATCCCCCCTCCCCCCACACTCTTAATCCCCCCCCCCCCCAAAGAATTCTTCAACACCGGACAGTACTGTACACACAACGACGGACTGCACCACTGCAACACAACATACCTGACACACTGGCGACGTAACACATGTCTCCACGCGCCGCTGATCACGCTCTACTAGCACGGTGAGCTCAGAGTCGTAGGTGATGGCCACGCAGGTACGCGACTGCCACGCCTGCACACACCGCTGGGCTAACAGCTGATTGTGATAGTACCAATCTGACGAGTAGGTGATACTGCCGACGTTTTGACCTTGCGGTATTCTAGGAGTGCATGTACAGTCATAACAAGAATACTAACAGTGAAGGAACATGTGACAACAGTATGAAGTAAAATTAAAAATTAAAAAAAATAATTATCGTGTCCGTTCCCGAAGGGAACTCACGACGGCCGCTAACACCCGGTAAACCCTACCTTCAGATGCAGTGCCTAACGGTTGGGGTGAGTGGATACGTCTCACAATCACCGTGACAGTATGAAAGTGCCGCTAAATTTGTCCTTGGGGATCCGGTGGCATACACACAAAGAACGCTTGATAGACAGGTCATAGTTTTCTTTGTCCGCAGGTAGGAATGCACAAGGTATGGCTTAGCGAGATTCTAGCCAGGAAAACAAATGTAGAGGGGGAGGGGTAGCGCAAACAAACAGTTCACCCATTCTTTCCATGTTCCACTATTGCCTTGTAACAAAAAGAGCAAGGTCAGGCGCACAGAGCGCCGGTGCACCTGGAACGGTAAATTTGTGGCCGCATTTTGCTGTGTGAACTGAATAAACACAAAACTCGAAACATGAGTAGGGTGGTGTGCCATCAGAGTAGATGGCCACTACCCCCCCCCCCCCCCATATCTTCCTTTGGGTAGAACCCTCTGCCTAGTGTCTAAGATGACTGGTCCCACCAAAACAGGTGGCTCTTTGTGCAAGTAAGTTGTTGCTAATGGTCGATTTTCTGCATGCTCTACTTTTCCTGAACCAGCAACTTTGGGAGTGCACACACTAGTAACGTATCTTCTCTTGCAATGTCATTATTCACTGTCTTGTAGCATCAAGAGTACATAACCCCCCCCCAGAGTGTGCAACGCCGATCCAGCTCTGAATACAGGGTCTTGGTCGAGCGGAATCGGATCTTCTGATGTCATGCGTACACTCCACACCAGCGCAAGGCCGGTCTCGAGGCAGGGCACCATTGTTTTTGATCCGAGCGTACCCGCGACTTCCCGGGTTCCCCTCAGATGTGTACGGCATTATGACGCAAAGATCCGATTCCGCTCGACCAAGACCCTATGCACAGCTAGATCAGGCGCTGCACACAATGACATCATCACTCACCTCAATGACATCATTGACTTGATAAGCAGCACAAGAAGTGCCATATTGATGTCGTCATGTTCAGCACCCAGGCAATCGAGTACATAGAGTTGATACGCTAGAGCACACTGCAGTATTGATGACTTCTCACGTAGTGACGCTTCACTGCTGCCAGCACTAGATCCTGCATTAAGGGGGGGGGGGGGACATCGCATACAACACGGGCACAATGTGGCGCATATTCAAGATATTAAATCGGCCCTGCCCCACGGGCAAAGCCTACATTCTATAGCGTTAGAGTCGTCCATTGTCGTGTCCATGCCCGCTACGGCTCCCTGGTGGACACCAATCAGGATTCTCCCGGTCCCAGAAAGTCCTGGATGTTCAATGTGGCTAACTACATGTATGTAATTGTGAGGCACTGTCAGGACATACTAGTACCCTGGCATGAGGAGCTGACTGTGATGAAATATTTGGTATCGGGGACCTGCCAGGTTTCAGGTGAAATGTAGAATTAGGTGACCGGCGTTTCCTTCACACACACAGTGCATACTGCTCAACACAACACACAGCGTGGGGCTGTGTTCCAGAACATAAGTTAAAGAAAATGGACAAAACAAATTGGATACAAACTACGCATACTCCAGTGCCTTTTGGGTGTAGCGGGAATCTAAATATAGGTGCCTGGACCTCTGGGGCGTCGGAAGGTAATTTAGTGTGGTACGGTCAACCATCTGAAGTACAATTTACTCATGGGGGAGGGGTGGCTGAGCCGACAAATTTGGAAAATTACAGCCAAATCAGTGCATTTTATTGATTCACGGGGTACTTGGGGCAGATAGTGGTACGGTCAATACCGTAGTGACTGTACTGTGTGTGACGCCCCTGCTGGCTTCTCTACTGAAATTACCGTAATTGAAGTTACACCGAAAATATCGTGTCATACAGTATGGCTTTGTGTTAGTCACCTACCGGTAATGCCATTACTCCACTGCTGCATAGCCTTGGCGCGCTGCCGACCAAGCTTTGCCAGCGTCTGGATGATGGAGACGGCCGCCGATGACTTGTCCATCTCACCGGCCCTTTCCTCCTGTTTAGGTAGCAGTCCCATCTCGGATAGGAGCCAGCACAGCTCCTGGAAACTGTCCTCACCACCTGCAACAAAGAACAGACACATTCTTTACCTTAAAGAACTGTTGAAGTACAGTAAAAACCTGCCCTACCCGGATGCCCTTGGTGCAGCCAAACATGTGCTGATATGACAGGATTCCGCTTCGTCCAGCGATCCACGTTCCATCAACAGCACTTTGGTGGGTGAACATTTGTCTGGTCAGCACAGTATTCCGCTTGGTACAGGGTCCGGTAAACACAGGTTTTACTGAACATCACCATACGCGGTGATAGAGAAGTTTTAGCATGTGTGTATGATCAGGGCAGTCCAACCGGGCAGAGACAAGTTAGACAAGAGCAGCAGCATACTACACATTTTACCCGCCACTATCTAACAATATGTTACGACATAGAAAGCTGGATCCAAGACGGACAGGGAGAAAATCGCCATGCACCTTCCCTACACCTACGTTTATCCGGCAGAATCCAGTCAAACTTGTCAAGGTGACCAATCTGATAAGCTGACCACCTGTCCTAGAGGACCAATACAACCAGGACCAGGGGATGTTATTTATAGTCAAATGGATAAGGAGACCACCTACAAAGGGGGACCACATTTGGAAGGTCTCATGTGTGGTTGCCTAAGTAGGTTTCACTTCAAGTAAACGGACTTGATGATGTAAGCCATGTTATTAGTAGGGGTATTCCCCGGCACACAACTCACCGGGGTGCAGGGCCAAGATCTCAGCGAGCTCATCCGAGTCCTTCGAACTGACGCCATCCAGGCTTTGCTCGAAGATGACGATCTCCTCAGCGGTGTCCATCACGGATTGTCTAGGTGAGGAGGACGAGGGCGAGGCTGATGACGAGACAGCCGATGATGGACGGTCACGCTCGTGTTGTTTACTGACCAGAGCAAGAAAGCGACGTCGCAGCATCTTGATCTTGCGCAGCGGGCATGCATTGACCAGGCGGGCAATGTCCGTGAGCGCTTCGAAATCTCCTGTGGCCAACATGCGGGTCAGGACTGGAGACTCGATTTGCGTCTCGAGTCGTGAAATCGCAACGGCGTACGGGTCGGTGGGGTCTTGCGCCGGCGAGAACAGAAGAGTGTCGATGTAGGTAACCGTGCTGCTATGAGATGGAGGTGATGATAGGGTCTGTAGCAGCTGCATGCCAGAATGGCCTTGCTGGAAGCAGCTGTGTAGTGCAGTACATGCACTGGCCTGCACATGACAAGAACAAAAGTAATACATTATGATGCAAAATGTATACAGTATCATGTACGCACTCATGAACACACGTGCACACACATACACACGTGCACACACATACACACGTGCACACACATACACACGTGCACACACATACACACGTGCACACACATACACACGTGCACACACATACACACGTGCACACACATACACACGTGCACACACATACACACGTGCACACACATACACACGTGCACACACATACACACGTGCACACACATACACACGTGCACACACATACACACGTGCACACACATACACACGTGCACACACATACACACGTGCACACACATACACACGTGCACACACATACACACGTGCACACACATACACACGTGCACACACATACACACGTGCACACACATACACACGTGCACACACGTGCACACACATACACACGTGCACACACATACACACGTGCACACACATACACACGTGCACACACATACACACGTGCACACACATACACACGTGCACACACATACACACGTGCACACACATACACACGTGCACACACATACACACGTGCACACACGTGCACACACATACACACGTGCACACACATACACACGTGCACACACATACACATGTGCACACACATACACACGTGCACACACATACACACGTGCACACACATACACACGTGCACACACATACACACATGCACACACATACACACGTGCACACACGTGCACACACATACACACGTGCACACACATACACACGTGCACACACATACACACGTGCACACACATACACACGTGCACACACATACACACGTGCACACACATACACACGTGCACACACATACACACGTGCACACACATACACACGTGCACACACATACACACGTGCACACACATACACACGTGCACACACATACACACATGCACACACATACATATGTGCATATGTCCACACATGCACACAAAACACACTTCATCCGTGGCACCTAATCACGGCTTTGTGTTATTCATTTTCAGAGAAACACTGGTTCGAATGGTCCAGATCCATGCAGAATGTTCCCATTGCACTCTGTTCAGATCTAGCTATGTTCACATCGGACATTGCCAAATCTACCTATGGTCATGCCCAAATCCACCTATGACACTGGACACTGTCTACCTGTGAACCCACCCAAAGTCTCTCTACATGTACACATGGCACTGGACACTGCTCGGGTGCAGCTACTAGCCAGCTAACGTTACATGTATGCACACACAGGCTGTGAGAGCAGTGAACGTTGCCTCACAGCACAGTAATGACATCATCGATGACATCATCAATGACATCATCAGTGACATCATCACTCACAGTGACATCCGGCTGCTCCACATAGACACTGATCTGCTGGAGCTGACGTGAGTGAAGCTCGAAGCAGCGCCGCCACAGCTTTGCTATCGCCCTGCCGCGACTCAACACTGGACTGGCCGAGTAAGCATCATCTGTATGGCGTGACAAACAGGAAGGTTCGCAACAACACAAACACAGCTCAAGGAAAAGGTATGGTGGAGAAACATCGGTGTGATGTAGTGATTTATATTCTAACCTGGAATACGTACATGGCCAAACAGAACGAATTACATTATGATGGGGCTTGAAATGACCTCGTGTGCACTTACCACCAGCTGCCGTTGGATCGATCTTTTCATCCTGCAGCTGCTGCAAGTTGATGACAGCCGCCTCCTGCGCGCACTGCTGGTACTGCTCCTGAAGCAGCTCTCGTGTTTTATCATCCTGTTCCCAGTATGTCACTGCACCACCCGTCAGCTCTTGAAGTCTGGTAAGGTGGAGAGAGAGAGAGGCAGAACGAGAGAGCAGTGTATTTCTGGTTCTGTCCACTGGACCTAGTGCACTCTATTCAGCCTGAGGATTTTGACACATGTCTACTCTGATATTGCTATGTGACCGGTATACAGTCAGACCCCGCTTAACACAAAAAAAAATATGGATAGGCAAGGGAACCGGATGATTGAACACACATACTGTATGTATGCATGGCATACGCTGTAAATCGGTATTCAACGATTTTCTTCCGGATGCGAGGGATCCGGATAAAACAAGACTGGATAAGCGAGGTCTGCCTGTACTGGAAACTTAGCCTGGCATAGACACAAGCCGGTCAATTTGCTCCTGTGTGCAAGTACCCGTTGTCTATGACAACTGTCGGACTCTAGGTGCACTGTGCACGAGGTCATAGGAACATGGCATATTTACTGAATACAGTTTGGCAGGATTTGCATCTCCATGGAATGCCATGGTGCTCCAGGGCGCCCCGGAAGACTAGGGCACAGAGTAGCATTACTACACTTTGTGCTACACTCCTTACAAGCAGGTCTTGCTCTCATGTTGCTCACCTTCCCTTCAGCTCAACTTCTTCCATGGTGGAAACCTCCTGCCAGGCCAATCGCAGTTTGAGCACGGCTGTGATCAACGTGCACAGCATCTGACGTTCCATCACCTGACAGCAGGCTAGCGCTTGCAATGCTCCGGATAGCATCGTCTCCTTGACGACTGGCAGCGGCCACGTGTAGCTCCAACCTAGACTTGCGCTGGGGTGAATATTCTGAGACGGTGCGTGGAGAAGGCAGGGCAGAATGGACGCCAATTTTCAGGAAAATAATTCTTCAGACCTTCCCCTTTTCTACACGACAGTAGTGGTGAATGAAATCCAACTGAGTAAATATAATCCAACCGCCGGCTTCAAGAAAGAGAAGTTGCACGATGTATGTATGCGTGTGAAAACAAATGCTGATGGAAGCTGCATGGCTCTATACATATAAATGTTGTAACTTGCTGTCACGGTCATGTTGGATACATAGGCATTTCAGGTATGGTGATCGACATGCACCAAGACGGCATTGGTACGGTCTGAGCGAAGGGGAACTGGAGAATGGATTTCCTGCTACCATGTGTGTGTGTGTGTGTGTGTGTGTGTGTGTGTGTGTGTGTGTGTGTGTGTGTGTGTGTGTGTGTGTGTGTGTGTGTGTGTGTGTGTGTGTGTGTGTGTGTGTGTGTGTGTGTGTGTGTGTGTGTGTGTGTGTGTGTCTGTGTGTACACACGTGTGTTTGGGCATGTGTGCGTGCATGTATGAGTGTGTGTGTGTGTGTGTGTGTGTGTGTGTGTGTGTGTGTGTGTGTGTGTGTGTGTGTGTGTGTGTGTGTGTGTGTGTGTGCGTGTGTGCATGCTCATGTGTACACACGTGTGTTTGTGCATGTGTGCGTGCATGTATGAGTGTTTGTACGAGTTACTGTACAGGATGTATTATTAGCTACCAATATGTTCTCAGTCTCCAGACTGCAGTCATAGATTTCCTGGCAGCACCCACTCACCAGTAATTCAAATCTCTCCATGCCATGGTAACTCAGCTGCCATGGCAACGTGGTGCGGAATGGACTCCTGGAGAAATACAGAAACACATGGAACGAACAGATACTGGTAAGGTTTTACAACGACAGAGCTGACTGGTCGTAGAAGATTTAAAATAAGAACAATTTCCCTGAGCTATTGCAAACTGCACAGAATGAATCAACAAAATATGTTGAATGAGCATAGGAGTCATACCCTCATTGGTGAGTTTGTGGGAATGCAAAAATACATTCATCGATTTTGTGGATGATTCTGCCTTTTGATTTCTAGCCAACTTTCTCGGTTTCTCTATCCTCGTCGTAACGAAGGAATGTGCTCAACAGCTAGCAGCAGTGGAGTTGATGTAATTAATTTTCTCTTGTGGAAAAAAGACAGATTCGGAGCTCTGACTAGTACAGACTCAGTATGTATGTCAGTTCTTGCTGATGACATGTGACACCTGATGGCAGCACTATCAGCTGTCAGCTTTCAGACAAAACAACACACGGTCACTGGTCCTGCTGAAGACAAGTGCCAGAGATTACTGACAGGTTCTGAGATTTCAAACTAACGGATTGAGGATTGACTGTGCGGCAAAGCCTAGCTCAACCAGCTGGGAACTGTCTGATTGCCAATACTCACACCAACAAGCTCAGAAAGACTGTATGTGAAGAAGGGAAGGACGACAGCAACTAGAATGGCTTGCAACAAGTATTTAGCTGTGTGCCTGTTGCTTCTGCTAGGTCTCGTCGACAGCTGCCAGGGAAATGTGCAGGATGTTCAACAGGGACCAGTTGGTGTGTCTGCAGCTAGCAGGCACCATTCAATGCACAGGAGCGCGACAGAAATGGATTTCGGTGACATGGGTGCAATGAATGAAGATCACGAGAGACGCCCAGCTGACCACCAAGTACAGCAGCAACAGCAGCAACAGCAGCAGGGAAATGAGGAAGAAGATACTTGGCTCAGAGTGCATGAGTTACGCCACGAGGGACAGAACATGGACAACGAGATTCCACCGCACCATCAACAACACCAAGACTCCAGTTCCTCTCAGAAGGGCCCTCAACAGCATCAGCCATTCCACACAAGACACCGTGGATCCACGGAGAAGAACAAACAGCAGCAGCAGCAGCAGCAACAGCAGGAGCAGGAGCGGCAGCAACAGTTGATTTGGAAGCACAGCGGTGGTGGCATGATCAGCACCGTCATGGCGGAAATCATCGACAAACTGCCTCCCGTCCCCAAACCGACCAGTCCTCTAATCAACGGCACACTGCTGATGAGAGATGTACACTTGAGCGGAGACTACCAAGCCGACACCACTCTCATCCTGCCGTCTTACACCACCGTGCACCTGGAGGGGTCCATCACCCCGACCCTGAAGCTCTCCGGAGGGGACAACCTGCCCCAGGGCAACCTGGTCGCTGCCCTGGTGCTGAGTTACAAGGCTGACATGGTGGGTGTTGAGGCTAGTGGTACCGGCGCACTGTTTGCACTGTTTGATTGCAGCGGCTGGAACTCGACTAACTCCACCACCAACACATCCTCTCTGGCGGGCATCTGGTTCCAGAGTGTCCTGGGCGCGTGGGTACGCAACGTGGTCGTGCGAAATTGCGGCATGGGCGTTCCGGCGGGGCCACGACCAATGTACCAGACGGGGAACATACGCATAGTCGACTGCTTCGGAGCATCGGTCGTGGGTGTCGAGAGTCACTCGTCTTACAACCGCGGTTTGTGGACTCAGTCCAGTCGAGTCGTGGTGTGGGATGGCTATTTCCATGACAACCTAGCCGACGGCATCGACTTTGACAGCGCGACGTCGAAGTCGGTCGCCTACAACAACCGCTGCCACAACAACAGCCGGCACGGTATATTCGTGGAGGAGGGCGCATCGTACAACGTCCTCGTCAACAACACATGCTTGGAGAATGCCGGCAATGGGATATGCCTTGGCAGTCTGTATGGACCGTCGGGAACAAATGAGAACACGGTACTTGCTAACATCCTCGGTCCCGACGACTACCCGGGGAGTGGGGGCGCAAAGAGCGGGATTTCGTTCGGCGGCTCCGACTACGCACATCGGCAGATCGATCTCGTTGCTGTGGGTAACACGATAAACGGCAACGTGGCGAGTCACGGGAATATACAGCACAGCGTGTTTGCGCTGAACACGCGCATAGCATCGTATGAAGACTTCAACATGCGTACTAACGACAGCGTGTGGTTAAACAACCCATAGCATGGCGGGATAACGCACTCACGCGCACACACACACACACACACACACACACACACACGGTTCCCTTTAACCTACGCTTACCAGATGTCCTTGCCGGAGAGTGCCAGTGTGACGGCATCGGCAAAGCATGGTGCTCCAGTGATCAACGTCACAACCGCACCGGGCATTTGCCGGTCGATAGGGTGGAGTGACGACTGGTCCATCCTCTTACTGAGCACATTAGCGCACATCTCCTCCAGCAGCTGGGGTACGGATTTAAATGCATTCTGCTGAGAGCCAGACCCAGGCAAATGATCAGCAAGCGCAACTCTGGCGGAACTATGCACCATCTTATTCAGCGCTTTTCCAGCTGGGGATGGTTCGGAGCGATTCGTTCTCTCGTCGATGCGAAGCGTTTCCAGCTCCTCCTGAGAGTGTGGGGGCAAAGAACGGCGAGCAGTATCCATGTAACAGTTATTTCCAATTGTGAATACAAAGGCAAAACAGAGATCAACACTGTTTTCTTCTGCTCCTCGGGGTTTGTTGTTTAGAAAGACTCTTCAGGCAGCAAGCACCTTAGACACGTTGACAAATAACTGAGTCTGATATATACATGACTGTACCGTAAGGTATCATTGATCCGCCCCCTCTCTAATTCCCGCCCCCTGTCGATTTTCTACCTGTGACGCGATTTCGGCGTATACAACGAAATACGATGTTGAACCGATGTTTGCACTGCTGTACACAATACGTGCCAATCCAGGATGAAAATGTGCACAGTTTAGCACATCGGATCTGATCCTCCAAGTTGTTGTACATCGTCCTGCACTTGACAGCCTTGATCTAATTCCTGCCCCCTGCCGAAAAACCTGCTGGGAAACGCCATGGCGTGGGGGGCTGTAACAGGAAGCATACTAGCAGCTCCAGTCGACACAACAAATCAAACTCACTCCTTCTGGACTAACCAAGAACTGAGGGGAAACCCTCGTCGTGGCCAGCTTCATATTTCAGAATAAATGCAGGGAGTCATATTCGACTCCCTGCTGTGTTCAGAGTATGGTGTGGGAGGTAGAATACGGATGTGTAGAAATAAAGTGCGTTCCTCAAGGTGGATAGTGTGTAGAGTAATAGTTGTCCATTATGCATGAATAATAATAAGTAATTCGGGGATCACCATACAGAGCATGCAGAAAGAGTGTAATAATTATGTGATTGGAAGGCCAACGGGAATGGGAGAAGCAGTCTCTAAGACCATTGCCATCACAGGGGCGGATCAATGGTACTTTACGGTACATTTACTCCAGTCAGCGTTACAATACAATCATTTAAAATAAAGTCTACAATAGTGTAAATATGACGGCACAGAATAGTGGGAACCACATTCATCGTAATCTCTGAACTTCTGAAAAAATCTAGAGTACGTTTGGAAGTCCAGGGCAGTCCAGGGCAGTCCAGGGCAGTCCAGGGCAGTCCAGGGCAGGCTTTTTATACCACCATACTGCTACTTAGTCCAGCGTGTGTAGAGACATGACCTTACAAAGAAAAGACATTTTACAGTCAGGAATTCACCCGAGATAGGATGGGCAAAGAGACCGGTGTAACTGGCATGGAGACGGGGCTAGGTACAGAGACGTCATATCACATACCCAGGCTGGGTTCACCCTTACCCGCTTGAGTTGCACCGGCAATGCATTCCAGTCCTTTTGTGACAGCGTAGTGCCGTCTCCGCATGCCAACGACTCGTGTAGCAACACATCCTGCAGTGCTCGGAACTTTGCCTGGACACACACACACACACATACACATACACACACACACACCAAACAATGACAAACACGCGCGCACACGCACGCACGCACATACACACACACACACACACACACACACACACACACACACACACACACACACACACACAAACAAACAAACACAGAGGAACTGAAATGCTTCTGCATAGGAACGGTAGAACCTCCAATGGCTCCATGTCTTCAAGCTCAAGAAGGGGCAAACAGAACCACAATGAATGTGCCCCTTTCAAACCTTTTAAGACTTGCTGGAAAACGCATCATGCACCATACGTGGTTGATTTATTCCCAATAGCGGGCCACTAAAAGCCATGGCAATTATTATCTCTCAAGTAGAATGGCTAATACAAATTAAGAACAAACCACCGACTGAGGGAGCAAAATATTCCGTAGCACTGCAAACCGCGGAGAAATCAATCAAATATACTACGACCAGCTTTCATAGGGTGCTAGGCTGTGAGACTAACACTCTGCTGTACCAATACCACAGTGTGAGAGTGTGAGTTATTGTAGTGAGCTGCGTGTGTGTATGTAGGGTACAGAGCACCCGGAAAGATGAAAGTTGTGAGGTGAGTGTGGTGCCATACAGTGCTGGCTATCCTGTTACTCTTACCAAGGTCCATAGGCTTATAACTAGCACAAAGCCCCCAGCCCCCCCCCCCCCCCACACACACACAGAGACCCCCACCCCACCCCCCCCCCCCCCCAAACACACACACATACATACCCCCCCCCCCACACACACACACAAACACGCATACACACACACTGTACTTTTTTTACTTTTACACACACACACACACACACGTTACCTGTATGGACGTCCTAATAAGCGCGTCTCTCCACTGTTCTTCGCTGGGCGGTAGTCGCAGTAACACTGAAGCCACATTATTCACGTGGAGACCAACCAGTGATTGGTGAAGACGAGATACGATGCTGCGTAGTGCTTCTTCATCCTGACATGAGAAATGCAAGAAGAACACGAGAAGAAGTTGCACATGCATTGGGATTAGAACCGGTCCGCTTAGTCAAGCCATGGGCAGAACAACAGGATCGACGCAAGATGTTTTAGATCGCTCCGGCCCTACCCTAGCCTTCCATGTGTTGGGTATGATATGGAGGGTACACATATGACCTCCTCAGCAGTAAACACACGTTGGTGGCTAAAAGGTTGGTCCGGCCATGGCCTGACCAATCGGACCGGTTCCGCCGCGCCTGACCAACTGCTTGGCTACCAAACCCAGGTTTAGTACGTCAGGCGTACCCACCATACCATACACACAGTACAGTCAAACCTAGCTGTCAAGGCGACCACTCGGATAAGGTGACCACCTGTCCTAGAAGACCACTGCAACCAGGACCAAGGGATGCTATTTCCAGTTACATGACCCTGGATAAGGAGACCACCTGGTAACAGAGACCACATTTTGAAGGTCAAACGAGCGGTCGTCTTAGACAGGTTCCATTGTACTTCAAGTATCAAGATGATGGCATGGTCAGACCAATCAAAACCTGCTTCCGCCAACGCTGACATGTGCTATGATCTACGGTTACGTTCAATTGCCTTGCCGGGTTTCATTTCCTACAGTATGGAAAACAGAGTGTTGCAAGTACTAGTACTAGACTTTCACTGCCGGCCGGAGATTGTGTGTTCGACTTCAATGGTAATCGATTGCATGCCGTGGCTTGCCAATCTTGAAATCGCTTTTCGCAATCATCGTTTCGGGAACTCTCTGTGTTGGATTCATATTCTCTGCATCCAGAATCGATATACACCAGCATTCAGCTATGCTGCAGGCCTGAGGTCTCTATCCCACAAATTAATGTAACAGCGGGCTCGGTTCGGGTTACATAATTCAAATTACAAAGGAAACAACTCAAGAGGAAAAAGTCAACAACCGAGCATCTCCGGCTCCCAACACAACAAGGGCCCAGCGTGATCCCGCACGTGCGGAGCTCAGCACGAATCTACAGCTGATACAACTGTCACAGCAGAGTTCAAATACAGTACAGAGTGGGTTTGTGGACATCACGAATCACGATACAAAACACATGTACAGGTCATGGTAGCAGGGCTGCTACAATTATGTGCAACGGTATTTGTTGGTTATTTCCCTGACATGTGCGCCTAGTCCACTATGCCAGTGTCTCTCACTCACCTTGCGTCCCATCTCGGCCATCGTCGACTCGATCTCCTCCAGCTGGACTTCTTGCAACTGAGCGAGTAGTTCAACGAGAACTCCCCGCGGACACCGTGTCCTTCCGGCCTCCTGTTGATCCACGCCGTCGAGCTTCAAAGGGCCGGCGGTCGCAGACAGAGGTGTGAGGTCTCCCTGGTACCAACGCCACGACGAATCCCGGGCAAGTTGCGCCGCACTGCACAGTATGCTCTGGTGCTGTGGGGCACATGCACACAATGGACCAAGAACACCAAAATGAGGGTCCTGATGACAAACTGATTCATATTGAAATGCTTCCTAATAAATACTTGATTGCTGATGAAGTATTCTAAACAAAAACATGTCATTCCCTTAATTGAAATATCACCCCAGATTACTTGAAAAAAAAACACAGAAAAAGCAGAACATTCAACACCATCACTTCCAGCCCTCGCACCAGCAGCAACAGCATACCTCTTCCACTGCAGTCTCCATGTCGTTCGGCCGCTCAGCTATCCACGCTCCCCTGCGCCGAGTGAGGTCACCCAGGGAAAACTCCAGCTGACCAATGTGCTGTGACAGGGACTCGGCAGGAGGTGGATCTAGAGTAAAGAAGCAAAGCAAAAGTGGCAGCACGGAATACAACTAAAGCACACCAGAGCTCATTTTGTTTTACTCTTTATTGGGATTATTTTCAGTGCACCCAACTCTCGCAACACACCAACAGTCCTCGGCTACCGTGATGATGCCCTCCTGGGTGAAACTTTGGACAATTTCAACTGTACGTAGTGTAGCCGAGGACTGTTTGTGTGTTGCGAGCTGGGTGTACTGAAAATACGACAAGGCTACAATGGAGTTTCAAAGGTCTGACTTGTAAAACACTTTATTGGGATTATTAAAGGAAATGACAATAGCAATCAGTCCCGTGCAAACTACTTTGACATTGTTCATACTCCGCCAGCATAACTGTGCAATACTCTGGAATTCGTGTGTGACACAATCATGAGGTTGAGTTGCTATTCTCAAGAATCAGAAATTTCCTCCCGTAAAATTGCTGGATTGAGGGAGCTGGATTGTCATTATTGTGAGACACTGGATTTACGAGCAGATGAGAGAGAGAGAGAGAGAGAGAGAGAGAGAGAGGAAGAGAAAAAAAGAGATGTAGATGTGCAGTGTGTTAAGAAGGTTTCATTGCTTACCGGAATGCTCCGTTCCGGTTCCCTCCAGCAGCCACACAAGAACAGTCTGCTCGGTGACGTGACTGTGAAGTAGCAATTTCAAGATGGACTGTTCCAGCGACAAGCGGTCACCACCTTCCTCCACGCCGCTAAACAACACGATTATGCAGGCACGCACGCGCGTACACACACACACACATGCACATACACACAAAGAACTGCTTCACTATATGTTCGAAACTTTTTAATATTTCAAGAATTCTCCAAAGGCATCTGGTCTGTCGAGCGGGACTTCATAGTCGGAAGTGCTGTTACATGTACACATGAAGGATAAGCACGGAAGGGTAAGAGACACAATGCATAGGACATGGCGTAGAAAATCTAACAGACTGCTGAGTTAAAGATGAACGTTGTAACAGATTGCTACAAGACCTACCATGGGTGTGTTATCACGAGGGTTGTACATGTAATCACAGATTGTTACAGGACCTACCCACTCACTATACATGTCACTACTTGGTACATAAATAAATTTGACGGGTTCGCGTACAGGGCAGGTCAAGAACAAGGAGTCGTACGACTCCCTGGTCAAGAACCACCTTTCCGCTTCCGTGGGACGCCACCACCCCATGATCAGGCGTCAGATGCGGCTCCTAAACGGTGGGTACATAGTAGTCATGAACAAAAGAGAGTCCTCCGGCTCCGAGGGCGGTAGAGTGCTCAAGATTCATTCGAATAGAGCTATCATACACCACGGCGCAGAGCACCACGCGTTACAACGAATGATGCGTGGTGCTCTGTGCCGTGTGTAGTAGTCACGAATAACACACGCATACATCATCAACAGTGCAATCGTAACCAAGAGTGTGCTACTCGACGATCCCCTAGCCCACGGTGGAATGTCGAATGACATCGGTCTTTCGCAGCTATTTGTTTTACTGATGCTATCACGCGTAGCCAGAGATCGGCATTGTGCATCACAGCTACGGTAGTCGATGGATGTAGGACAACAGGCTGTAGATCAACGTGTCCCGAATCTGATGAACTCACACCGTACTCACAAAACAAACGCGGCGAGGCAACGTGCACACTACATCGTACTGGTGAAGAATGACGCAATAAAAACATTTCCCATGGCTGAACCCATCGCAGCTCACGCTAGGTGGTGCACACTCTTGTTTATGTATTCTTCCTACTGTATAAGTACAAATTTTCGTTCACCGGAAATCTTTCGTTAGATCACTCCACCAGCAGGTTCGTTACGTACTAAATTTTGTTTTCGGTCGCGGTCTGTCACCCCGAACGTTCAGAAGGGGTCACTTTAGTTTAGTACAAACGTTAGGTACCGGTATGTTGTTCCGCCTAACGAATATAGCGAAAGTTAATTCCAAACGAAACTTTGTACTTATACAGTAGCATGCATTGCATGCTAGCACGACAGCGCACTCACCTGGGCAGCAGTGTGTCGCTGGCGAGACGTTTGGCAAGAACGGCGAAGTCCTGGAACAGGTCGGCGCTGTTCAACAGCTGAGGCAGTCGTGCATGCGCAAGCACCTGGCAACGCACCCTGTCCGGATGATGGCTGTCGAGAGAGAGAACAAGATCACAAAGATACAGTGTTAACAGAATCCTACTTGTGCATGAAGGTGTGCTCGTCCGCAAGTACAGTACTGGCCAAAGAAATCCAACCTCAAGAATAAAATAGCACCGGGCGCTGCACAGCCCTAGCACTAAAAACGTTGAAACACTGCAGGTCTGTGCGCTCAAACGCGGCGCTTCTTTATTCATGAGGTTGGATTTCTCTGCGGCCTGAACTGTACTTACACGTACAAGTACACGCTCACATACATGTGTTCATGCCAGGGCACACACACACACACACACACACACACACGCACACGCACACACACACACACACACACACACGCATGCATGCACGCTTGTACTGTCCTGGACATGGAAATCCGGTCAAGATGACCTGGGCCGGCGCCCTCAGTGCGCACAGAACGTAACTCGTCGCATGCCATGAAGCGTCGCGCCGAACGCGCCGGACGCCTGCTGTGAGTTGCTGTCGTTCCCGCGCGGGAAGCATATTCCCACTCCAACTGTACAGTGTACACAAGCAACAACCAGTATCACCTACCTATCCAAAGTGGCAGGCCGGTGAGCACGCTCAAACAGACCAACACATAGACTGGCCGCGTCGAAACTCTTCTCCGCTTCGCACGCTGAGATCTGCAGCTGAAGACGACGTTTCGCTTTGCCCGCCGCCGTTTTACTAGTAGCGCCTTCCTTATGCATTTGCTCGCTGAGCGTGTCGCGTTCCTGGCTCTGTCGCAGGCGCAACTCGGCGAGTGCACGTCCGGGTGAGCTGAGCGGAATGAAGTCACTCGTCTTCACCAGCACTGCACCATTCCCCGATGCGGTGCTGCTGTTCCCCGATGCGGTGCTGCTGTTCCCCGCAGCTGACACTGCTGCTGCTGTACTACCCAGTAGCAACATGACGCTGCCAGCGCGAGCGTGCTCCGACAGCATTTTCTCGGCTTCGTCCAGACGACCGGCGCGCACCATACGCACCGCGTTCCCGCGCAACTGACGCACGTCAAGCAGCGACGACGACTTCTCCCGCGGCGGTGCCGTCGTCGCCAGCAGTTTCTCGGAGAGCGCGTCGTATTTCCGCTCGAGCACGTCCCAGACCGACTGCGCCTGGTCGAGTTTGTGTTGCTCCTTGACTAGCGATGACGATGCCGCAGTGTCCCCGCTACCTGCGGACTGCATGCTCAGGAACGAGGCCTGAAGGTTGGCGGATACGAAGGATTCGGCGAGTTTCCCGTCTCTAGCATCCACACCACCACCACCACCACCGCCGCCGAGAGCGTTCTCTTCGTCCGACACGTCCTCCGACATGGCCATCACGCGGAACCGTGCAATCCTGCGCTGCGCGGCCGCGCGGAGCTCGCGGCCGCGTGCCGCACGCTCCTGCTTTTCCGCGTCCTCTTCCAGGGCGCTGATACCATCCTCCAGCTGGCGATACTCGACCATCGAACGACTCTGACTGGCGTGAAGTTCTTGGCCCAGTAGTGCACGCATCTCTTCCGCCGACATTCCGACCTCCGTGTGTTTGGTGGTTGCTATCGGCAACAGTGCCTGTCTGATTTCCTCCAGACTCGCGCCACCCAGGTCTCCGATTTGCTCCATGCGTGCCACCTGCTGGGCCCGGAAGTCGTTCCACACCCGCCGGCTGAACTTCGAGCCCAGGTTGGCTGCGAAGAGCACCACACATTGGTGCAGTGGCAAGCGACCCGTACACTCGACGTCCAGACTACGGAAATCCCAGGCCAGCCGCTGGCTGGTGTCGTGGCGCAGCTCCATGGTATTGATCAGCCCTGGCAGCTGCCCAGGCGAGCAAGTGGCCTGCCCCGCTGCGTCCAGCACCCGACTACTACTAGTACCTGGCTGTAGCTCTCTTCGACTACTTCGCTGATGAAACCGTCTTCGCTGCTGGCCATCCGAACCAGCGGCGCTGCTCCGCATCGACTCCAGAACATCGTCTTGTTCGACACGACGAGCATGCAGGAGTTTTTGCACGGCGCTCACCTGCTGCACGGTGAGATGGGACTGATCGACGGACGTGGGTGCAGCGTGATTCAGCACGGCTCTCCACGACTCCTCATGCTCGCCAGCCGCAGTGTGCAGCTGTAGGAGACTGCGTCGGCTGCTCTCGCTTCTCTCCATAATCCAGAATAAAATAGAAAACTGACAGCTAGCTCTAGTTTACACGCATACCCGAACAACCCTCGCTGACCGGCTCGTCGGGAATCGAAGACTAGAGCCGTATACAGGGTTCGCCAACTACATTCATTCCCTTCCGCCAAGATTTCCAACCGTTCGGTCTCCGGCACACACTCAGCCAGTTTGATACTGATAGAGGATTCTCCGGGAAAGCTAGAGCGCACCGCACCGCGGACCGGGAGTTGGCTGTAGCGACGGTGACAGCCAAGCTAGAATGAATCGAATATCCACCACACTCCGAAATGCCATGAGTTACGTAGCCGTTTCCCATTGCGTGCTGTCGTTGTTTGGTTTCCTTCGTTGGCAACCGAATGATCATTGATTCGTCACACATAACACATCTAGATCTACTGAGTACTGTCTGTATACGTGTAGGTGTAAGTGTCGGCCGCCGCGCCGGGGGACGTCTACCCGCGAAGGTGTTTTGCTGCTGCAAACGTCACCTGGGACTGGGAGATATCCGGTACAATCGCATGTAGATCTACATAACATAAAAATAATAAAATAAGTCATTACACTCTGTACTTGTCCGCGACCGAGTCTATGCCTGTGCCTACCTCAGTACCTGTAGCTGTGCCTGTCACAGACTGTCAGTGTGGTGTGGTCCGTGTGCGCACGCAGACCTTCGGCTTCGACGATCACAAGACACAAGACAATACTACCGGTAGTACATTACTAGTCATGGCGATCATCTCGTTCAATGCACCAAGTTGTACATGTAGATCATGTAAAATCTACCTTCTTCTTACATTCTTACATTCCGAATTGACCAGATCAGCAGGGTCACTAATCCCCCGCCATGAGAGGAACATGCAAGACTCCCCAACTCCCCAAGATCAAAGATCAAGACGGCAGTAGTGTAACTAGGTAGGTAGGTACGTTTTTATTTGAATTCGCAGAACCAAACGGGCGGTGTCGCCCAATTACATGGAAGCGAATGGAAACAGTAAAATATTGTAGGAAATAGCCTAACATGATAGCAGGGTGTAGTACAAAGCAAAGAACGCAACTAAAAAAAACCTGGAGAGCCCAGCTGGCTATGTAGCGGGTACATACATGTACAGTCAGACCTCGCATAACCGCACACATCCGTTTTCCACAAAAATATCCGGATAGGCGAGGGAACCGGATAATCGAACACACATACTGTATGTAAGCATGGCATATGCTGTACATTTGTAACCAACTATTTTTTTCCGGATGGCGAGGGATCCGGATAAACGAGGACCGGATAAGCGAGGACCGGATAAGCGAGGTCTGACTGTACATGTAATTAAAAGTACGAAGTAGTGGTTGCGACTTCGGCGATGATTTGTAAGAAAGGGTTTGCTCCCCACACCGGAGCTCGCGCTATTCAGCCGCCGACGTTACTTGACACTTTCAAACTGACTCACGACTGCCATCCAGAGCACACGAGAAGTCCATCGAACCTTCGACTCGGCAAACCTGCAAGAAAGCACCACTCCCTGCTCAATACACAGTGTTTCGGGGAATTCACCCCTCATCAGTTGAGCTTGAGTAGGCTGAGGAAGATTGTGCCTGAAGAGCACCACTTATATGGTGCTCTCCAGGCACAAACATCACCAGGGATACAAACGTACAGAGACGCTCCGTTTCCAGGGCGACAAGCACCTCGTGAACAGCAGCGTGAGTCAGTGTCGCTCCTGGACGGTGAGACAGACGTCGAGAACCCTCGGTCATTCGCATCGCTGTCACCTCCAAACCAACTAGTCGCAAGCCCGCGCTGGGCACACCGTCTCACCGTCCAGGAGCGACACTGACTCACGCTGCTATGTGGTGTTCACGAGGTGTTTGTCGCGCTGGAAACGGAGCGTCTCTGTGAGTTTGTATCCCTGGTGATGTTTGTGCCTGGAGAGCACTATATAATTATAAGTGGTGCTCTTCAGGCACAATCTTCCTCAGCCTACTCAAGCTCAACTGATGAGGGGTGAATTCCCCGAAACACTGTGTATTGAGCAGGGAGTGGTGCTTTCTTGCCGGTTTGCCGAGTCGAAGGTTCGATGGACTTCTCGTGTGCTCTGGATGGCAGTCGTGAGTCAGTCAAGTGTCAAGTAACGTCGGCGCGGAATAGCGCGAGCTCCGGTGTGGGGAGCAAACCCTTTCTTATGTAATTAAAACATACATGTATAAATTAAAACATACATGTAATTATGGCAAGGGCTGGGGAATTGTATTGTATTCTTTATTTTTACTTCGCAAAGTCAAACGGGGTCATTGCCTAATAATAGTGATAGCTAATTGACTGGTGAAGCAGGGAAGCTGCAACCCCGCCCCCCTCCCCCTCCCCGTTGTACTACTTCCTCTGTGCTTAGAGACCTTTCAGTTTGCGAAGCTTCTTTTTTCACCTGAAAAACCACCTATAATCAGTACAAGTCCATGGTGAGCTATTCAAGAGAGGGCAGTCAGGGCAGTCAGGGCAGTCAGGAGTCAGGGCACTATTTAAATATTTCATTGCATTTTACGTTATCCAGCATCATATCCATAATAATAAAAAAACGATGAAGGCAAAGAAAAACAGAGCCTATACTAAAGTTTACTGTGAACTATCACAGCTGAACAGAAACAGCAACAGGCTGAGCTGCGATTTTGATCCTGAAACCACCAGTGCATGGACAAGAACTAGGACAAGCAAATTAGCTTCTCCACAGCTGAGACTTTCAGCTCGTGCTTGTCTTGGTTGCGCTCACCTTCCCCTCCTATTGTTTCATTATTATAACTCAGAACCTTGCAAGTAGTTGGAAGGCTGTTGGAGTACGCACCCAAGATGTGCTAACGTTAGAGCTGATAGTGATAGCCAGTTAGTTCTAGAACCTCAGTAGATCTACTGTCGGTCGACCAGTTTTGTGCGATATTATCGCATGGGATATTATCGCATGAGCTGATTGTCAAGTAACTGGTGGTGTCAGTGGACATTACAGCGTAAGTCTTGTACTAGTACTAGTTCCTTGGTCTTTTTCTAATAATTATTCGAAAGCCAAAAATAAAACGAGCGCGATGCTGCCACAGATCACGGCAAGGAAACGGTGGCCAGCCCGATCCTCCACCATCGCCAACTCATGTATTTTAAAGTGTGAACTGGACGATGACGGGCCGACCGAGTCGCCCTGACGTGACACGCACACACACCTTTGAATGCAGCGCGCGGAAGCTATGCTGGTGGCGTGGGCTTGACATGCACCCACGTGTATCACAGCTTGAGGGCAGGGAATCGTGTACAGTATAAACCGGTTTATATACGACTGCCTGCTTGAGGGCCACTAATCACGATGTCCGAGAGCAGCGCCGATGGTGACAGAATCACTTGAATCAGTACCGGTATGTTCACTATAGTAACAACAGTCGGTATCAGTAGCTCCCACTCCTCCGGCTCGGTGCGTGTTTGGCAGGGCCAATAGCCTATGCTCCTGTCCTGATCCGACAATGCCAAACCTGCACGCCGTTGCCGTAGCGGGTCTTCTTCGTGCTGGCGGCGAGAATGTCCCATTAACTCAACTTCTCGAGGACCCAGAGTTGGGGGCAGTCACGAACAACGTGACCACGAAACTCGACGAGCGTTTCTTCCGCCGACGCCCTCACTTGTTTTCGTGTTCGCCGATATCATCCGCCACTGACGGCATCTTGTCCCTAAGCCTGCCGGAGACGAACAATAGCTTCAATCCTCTTGAGCAAGCCTGTGTGACCACACTGCAGCGATGCAAGGGCTTCAAGTCGGTGTTAGGGTCGCTCATCTGCAGCAAGAGTCTGCAACAACTTGCCAGCGGCTGCACAACGGTGGATATTCGAATATCCAAGGCGTTCTTCATGGCCCGACCCGACATGTTCGAGGTCATTCAACGCGGCTCGACAGTTGAAGTACTGCTAGCACAGAAATATCAACAGAAGCCCGTGAGTGCCGCTAGCAGCATGACTAGTGACCGGGATAATGACGGCGAGTATGGGACTGAGGAACAGCCCGCCCAAGACCTACCCGTGCCCACGCATGGCAGCCAAGCAGCAGTGAGTGTCAAGCGCGACGAGACAGAAACGGGTGCGTCTCGCGGAACGCCATTGGGCGACGATGAAATAGCTGCCGCATGGCAAGAAGAACTAGCAGGGGCTGATGAGTTACATGACAACAACAATGGTGATGATACGCGTGATGACGACGATCATACAAACAGTAATAATATCCGTGCTGCCAATGTCATACAACAGGACATGTCCTGGAGCTGTCAGCTTCAAAGCAGAGTGACCAGTTCAACAGACCACCATCAGTACCCGTCCTGTCGGCAGCCACAAGCCACTCCAGCGGAATCGTCAGTGCATCAGCCACACGCCATTGCAGTGGAATCATCAGTGGATCAGCCGCAGGCCACTGCAGCGGAATTGTCAGTGGATCAGCTGCAAGCCACTGCAGGGGAATCGTCAGTGGATCAGCCGCAAGCTACTGCAGCAGAATCACCAGTGGATCAGACGCAAGCTACTGCAGCAGAATCACCAGTGGATCAGCCACAAGCTACTGCAGCGGAATCGCCAGTGCATCAGCCGCAAGCCACTGCAGGGGAATCGTCAGTGGATCAGCCGCAAGCCACAGCATCTGCATCGACAGTGCATGGGCAGCAACAAACCACAGCAGCGGGGTTGGCCACGCCGCCATACGCAGCAGCAGCAGCAGCAGCAAGACCAGACGGTGGACATACGGCGCCGCCACCGCCGCTCCACGTGAATTCATCGGGGGGCCATCGGCAAGCAGGTCAGTTTGCGGCCAGCAGCCACTGTTCTAGCAAGTGGCAAACTCCTGCAGTGCTGACATCTGTGACGGCTACTCAGGATACGCCGTCACTGGGTCTCAGGCTGAGCGAACTATGGCCTTTACCAGGTGAGGCTAGCAATCAATTGCCGCTCGACCTACCTCGTCCGACTGGTGGACAAAAGAGCGTGACGTCAGTCCTGATTCCAATTGCAGAAGGAAGGAGCATCAGGTCATTCAGGATTTCAACTGCGGAATGCAAGAACACAAGGCCGTCAGTGCATCAGCCGCAAGCCACCGCAGCGGAATCGTCAGTGCATCAGCCGCAAGCCACTGCAGGGGAATCGTCAGTGGACCAGCCGAAAGCCACTGCAGCGGCATCGTCAGTGCATCAGCCGCAAGCCACTCCAGC